AGATGCCTTCTCGTTTCCCGCCAGCTGTGTTCTATACGCCCAAGGAGCTTGGTGGTCTCGGTATGATCTCAGGATCTCACATTCTCATCCCCACTAGTGATAAGCGTTGGTCAAAGCAGACCGACACAGGTATCACCCACTTCCGTGCGGGTATGTCGCATGATGAAGAGACCCTGATCCCTAACATCTTCCGTTACATCATTCCTTGGGAAGCCGAATTCATTGATTCTCAACGTGTGTGGATGGAGTACTCTCAGAAGCGTATGGAGGCGCAGCAGCAGAACCGTCGTTTGACCTTGGAGGATCTTGAGGACAGCTGGGACCGTGGTCTGCCTCGTATCAACACGCTCTTCCAGAAGGATCGCAGCACTTTGAGCTTCGATAAGGGTTTCCGTCTTCGTGCCGAATTCAAGCAATACCAGCTTATGAAGAGCAACCCATTTTGGTGGACCAGCCAAAGACACGATGGTAAACTTTGGAACCTCAACGCTTACCGGACTGATGTCATCCAAGCTTTGGGTGGTGTGGAGACGATTTTGGAGCACACTCTGTTCAAGGCAACCGCTTTCCCATCTTGGGAGGGTCTGTTCTGGGAGCGAGCCTCAGGTAAGTCAACTCTCTTTAGATATGTGCATTACATCTAGCTAACTTTCCTTCTTTACACAGGTTTCGAGGAGTCCATGAAGTTCAAGAAGCTCACCAATGCTCAGCGTTCCGGTTTGAACCAGATTCCTAACCGTCGATTTACCCTCTGGTGGTCTCCGACTATCAACCGTGCGAACGTCTATGTTGGTTTCCAGGTCCAACTGGATCTGACTGGTATCTTCTTGCACGGTAAGATTCCGACCCTGAAGATCTCGTTGATCCAGATCTTCCGTGCCCATTTGTGGCAGAAGATTCACGAGTCCGTGGTTATGGACCTGTGTCAGGTGTTTGACCAAGAATTGGAGCAACTTGGTATCGAGGCTGTTCAAAAAGAAACGATTCACCCTCGTAAATCCTACAAGATGAACAGTTCTTGCGCCGATATTCTTCTTTTCGCCACCAACAAATGGAATGTTACTCGGCCGTCCGTGCTGTTTGACACCAAGGACGTTTATGAGCCCACGACCACAAACAAGTTCTGGCTTGACGTGCAGCTGAGATACGGTGACTACGACTCTCACGATATCGAACGTTACACTCGTGCCAAGTACCTTGATTACACCACCGACAGCATGAGTATCTACCCATCCGCGACTGGTCTCATGGTTGGTATCGATCTTGCCTACAACCTCTACTCCGCCTTTGGTTCGTACTTCCCGGGTCTGAAGACCTTGATCCAACAAGCCATGGCCAAGGTCATGAAGGCCAACCCTGCCCTGTATGTCTTGCGCGAGCGTATTCGCAAGGGTCTGCAGCTGTATGCCTCTGAGAGCAACCAGGAATTCCTGAACTCCCAGAACTACTCGGAGCTTTTCAGCCCCCAGATTCAGTTGTTCATTGACGACACTAATGTCTACCGTGTCACCATTCACAAGACTTTCGAGGGTAACTTGACGACGAAACCTATCAACGGTGCCATCTTCATCTTCAATCCTCGTACCGGACAACTGTTCCTGAAGATCATTCACACCAGTGTCTGGGCCGGTCAGAAGCGTTTGGGTCAACTTGCCAAGTGGAAGACTGCGGAAGAAGTCGCGGCTCTCATTCGATCCCTGCCCGTGGAAGAGCAACCGAAGCAGCTTATTGTCACTCGTAAGGGTCTGCTTGACCCTCTCGAGGTCCATTTGCTCGACTTCCCCAACATTTCCATCCGTGCCTCTGAGCTTCAACTGCCTTTCCAGGCCGCTATGAAGGTCGAGAAGCTCGCCGATATGATCCTCCGCGCCACTGAACCCCAGATGGTTCTCTTCAACTTGTATGATGAATGGCTGAAGTCCATCTCTCCATACACTGCCTTCTCTCGTTTGATCTTGATCCTGCGTGCCCTCCACGTCAACATTGACAAGGCCAAGATCATCCTTCGACCCGATAAGAGCGTGATCACTCAAGAGCACCACATCTGGCCATCTCTCTCCGATGAGGACTGGATTAAGGTCGAAGTGCAACTGCGTGATCTGATCCTGAACGATTACGGCAAGAAGAACAACGTGAATGTGCAGAGTCTGACCAGTAGTGAAGTGCGAGACATCATCCTGGGTATGGAGATCAGTGCGCCTTCCTTGCAGCGACAGCAGGCCGCCGAGATCGAGAAGCAACAGGAAGAGGCGAAGCAACTCACCGCTGTGACCACCAAGACCCAAAACGCTCGGGGTGAGGACATCATTGTGACCACCACTTCTCAGTATGAGCAACAGTCCTTTGCTTCGAAGACGGAGTGGCGCACTCGCGCTATTGCGACATCCAACCTTCGGACCAGATCGAACAACATCTATGTCTCGTCCGATGATGTTCGTGATGAGGGCTTCACCTATGTCATGCCGAAGAACATCCTTAAGCGATTCATCACCATCGCGGATCTTCGGGTCCAAGTCACTGGATACATCTACGGTAGCTCACCGGCCGACAATGATCAAGTCAAGGAGGTCCGCACTATTGTTATGGTTCCTCAGGTTGGAAACACTCGGGATGTTCAGTTGCCACACGAACTGCCTCAGCATGACTACCTCAACGGCCTGGAGCCGCTGGGCATCATCCACACCGTGTCCGGCAACGAACCACCTTACATGTCTGCGGCAGATGTCACACAACACGCTCGTCTCATGAATTCCCACCCGTCATGGGACAAGCGAACGGTCACTATGACTGTCTCGTTCACTCCCGGATCGGTGTCACTTGCCGCTTGGGGCCTCACCCCGCAGGGTTATAAATGGGGTGCTGAGAACAAGGATATGACCTCGGATCAGCCGCAAGGCTTTTCCACTGACATGGGCACCAAGTGTCAGCTGTTGCTCAGTGACCGAGTGCGTGGTTACTTCTTGGTGCCGGAAGATAACCTGTGGAACTACAGTTTCATGGGTAGCTCCTTTGGCAGTGTTGAGAAGCGACCGATCTATGTCAAGATCGACACCCCGCTGCGATTCTACGATGACCAGCACCGACCTTTGCATTTCCAGAACTTTGCCGAGTTGGAAGATATCTGGGTTGACCGGTCCGACAACTTTGAGTAAGGGATTTTATTGGTGGGCGTTAAGAAAAAGCCATGACCCCTTTTTTTGTGTCATTCGAGGCGTCTGTATTCTTATTGTATCTTTTTTTAAGTAGTTGCTGTGTATCATGACAATCTTAATTTCATGTATTGGACGAAAGTTTGAAACAAAGATCTCTTTGTAGATTACCATTAACAGGCTGATGTCTACTAGCGTTGTTTCTGATTGATCAAAGACCCTGTTAGCGTGAAAATGAAAGAATTAAATCCAGGCGACATTAAAACGCTCGTCCATGACCAAGGCGGTACGAAGTCAACCGCATTCTCCGGTCTTCGCTTTCCTTTACACCATATGTTCCATGACCTCCGGTAATCGCCCGGTAACGCGCTTACTGGTCATCAGGCCATGCATCATCGGCCGAGTCTCCGAGGTCAGATCATGTTATAAGATATGAGTTCGCGGAGGTCGCAGGGGTAGAACAACAACCGAGACTAAACCACATAGGCTGATACTCCGTGGGGATGCATGAGACAATGAATGCAAGCACACTACAGGCCGACTCTCCTGCAGCTAGTCAAGCCAAAGTAGCCCGGGATCCTCTCAGCTCCCCTCTCTCACCCGTGCTATTTGCTATGTAATAAAATGATGCGATTCGAGCGGGGCTAGCAAATGATCCAACATGCGTCTCGTATCATGAGTGCCATCTCATTACAGGGATAACAACATGGAGAGTATGTTCATTCTTTTTCTCCACTCTTTTTCACTCGTCAACGATGTCAAAACATCAAAGCTGGAGCGGTTTATTCTTAGAACTGTCAGGTTCATTGTTCTCAACCCGTGTCGGCACATTCGGTCCATTTTCTAGCTTCGTTTTGCAGGATGGCGCTTTTAGACCGGCGCCGAAAGCAAACCTTGCCCCTGGTTGCTTACAAGTTGGCTTGGCTCAGTACAAGTCTGACCAACCCAGAGCATTCCCTTCTGATCCCGACAAGACGTGGGGCTTTTCATTGGGAAGTTTGATCCATCGAATGACAATGTAGCCTTCTTGAATGTTTGTCTTATTCTATCAAGGCTGACGGGGCGTTTTTCGGTTCTTGTCGGATTCTTCGACACGGACTTCTCACCCTCCGCATATCCGCCTTGTCATTCTTTGTTTGAGTTTTCCCTAGTCGATCCCTCCCTTATAGTACTGGAAGATTAAGGTCTTGTATGAATAGTAAAATATCATATAGAGTATGGGATTTGGAAAAGCGCGCGCTTTTAGTTCAGATTTTCGCTTGGGAAGAGTCTCTTTACGCGAACTATTGAATTGTATAATTTCTCGGTTTGAAATCCTGGTTTCTTCGACTTCAAACCTATCGAAAGCAACCCTGGACACGATCAGATGAGGGGTTACCACACAGACTCCCCTTTTTTATTTTATTTTTCTTTCCAACAAGTAGCTGCAATGCGACGGATCAAGATACAACGAGGGGTGATCGGTGAAGGTCATAAACAGGCCAACGCCGCACTTGTTTTCCTGTGTTTTTTCCCCTCCAAAATGTCGTCAAAGTTGCTTTTTGTCTCCTTGCACACCTCCAGATACCCTTCATTCATAGGCTTTGACGTTCTTGTACCTCTTTGATACTTTGACTTTGATACTCGCCAATCTCCAATCAACGTACAAACTTTCTATTATTGGTGCAGATTGAAATTTGTCTTCCTTGGATAAAAAACGTGTCCTATATATTCGAGGTCTTAAGGACCAGCCGGCTACATCCGATTTATCCTTTTGGCCACACTGGAAACGACAAACGTGCCATAATCAGGTTCGACTCCGTGTTGACAACTCAGCCACCCAAGCCGGGTCTTTCCTGGCATCGTTGATGCATGCCCGCTACATTGGCGGCCCCGTATAGAGGTTTTGCTGTTACTTACTCCCACGCGGATAAACCCAACGATCATGATTTGATGTCCTACGATGAGGCCCATTCGCAGCCGCGGGACAGGCTCCTAAGCGGACTTTCCTACCACTCTCAAGACGCCAACGCATCTCACTTTGGGCACATGCAGGCAGTCCTACCTCCTTTACCAGAGCCCCATACAACCGGACATCACGAGGTGCATCCGACTTTCGCCTCGGGTCATCAACTGCTTCACCCACACCCATACAACTACGATATATCTTACCCGTCTGAAAGCAGGAAACGATCTCGCTCCGGAAGTGACGGAGGTCACCATCACCAAATGGATCGCAATATGGTTCACCCGCAGCCTACTCACTTAATGCCTCTAGATGGCCCGGGTTCGGCTCCCGAGGCGGACATGCTGTATCCCATTCAAACCGATCCTTCGGGATCCCATGTCTCGTCCGCCCACAGCTATGCTTCCCCAGTGTCCCTTTCGCTTCCCCTTCCAGTACCTCTTCCAATTCTGCAGCAGCATCACCACCACCGACTTCCGGCCCAGGCGAACTTGAGGGATCGGTCGAATGTGCAAGGGCCCCCGTGTATGGTTGGTCAACCAGGCATGCCTCCTCCGGCTCCGAGGCCCAGTGGACCGAAGCTCAAGTTCACACCTCGAGAGGACTCACTACTGGTGGAGTTGAAGGAGGATAAGAATTTGGCTTGGAGGCAAGTTGCGGACTTCTTCCCTGGAAGGACGAGTGGGACCTTGCAAGTTCGATATTGTACGAAGCTGAAGGCCAAGGATGTGGTTTGGACAGACGAGATGGTTCGTATTTGTTCCTTCTATCTTGTGTAGGGTAATTTATGACGTACATGCTAAATTTTGAATCAAGGTGGAACGACTTCAGCACGCTATGAAGGCCTATCAGGTTGACCGCTGGCGGATCATTGCATCCAAGGTTGGGAATGGTTATACCCCGTTGGCATGCAAAAAGCGGGCTAGGCAGTTTCCACCTGAGCCTGAAGAGGAGGATGAGTATGAGGATGACTGATGTATTTTATGGTTATGATTTTCTATGTAGACTTTAGCTTGGGCAATTTGATTATAAATGTCTTTATGTGAATTAATACCGTGTGCACAATTCTTGAATTACCCAGGGGGGGGATTAGAATCACCTGATGTCAAAATTTTCGTTTGATGACATTTGGTAGGGATGTTGCCCACCTAGGCGCCTGGTAGGTGGTACGTTCATGTAGTTGAAATATATATCCGTATGTGTAAACAACCTTAAATGTTAAATGACATAGCACCTAAACTATAAAGAACCACTCTAACTTTCTAAAATTGTGACGAGCGCGCTTATGCATTCAACGATGCATTAAGACCCATCACACAACTCTTACTCGATGGTCATATCATATGCCGAATGTTATATCAAAATGTCATCCCATACTTGCATGACAGAAGCCCTGAGCCCTAATATTACCCAAAGCGGCCACTCTATGCATACATGGTCTGTGACACCTCCCGTACCTCCCTTACCGCCAACCAATCAGCGTGACGCCCATTAGGCTGCTATCTAGCCAATCAGAAGCCCGACGGGCCGTAGCGGACTTCAAACTCGCTCCAACCTCAGACCTCCAAACTCTCCCCATCTTCAAATTCCACACCTCCACCCCCCATCCCACCACCTCTCGCCGGACAATGTTCCTCCAGCGTACCGCCATCGCCCTTGCGCGGCGCTCTCCTGCTCGCGCTATCACTCTCGCTCAGCGCCCATTCTCTTCGTCCATCGTCCGCAGTACGTGACTCCTTCCACCCCCAGTGGCATGATGCAAGCTCGCCAACCCGACCTCGGCCAATTCCCCTTCCCAAGCGCAATTGGCCTCCAATATACCATTCCAACCCAACATTGATCGATCCGACTTGCTACAAACATCAGCTAACGCGATTTTGTGCTCCATAGGCAATGAGAAGAAGTTCATCGTGAAGGAGGAGGGCAAGACCCTTTCCTTCGATGGTTAGTGAACCCCCCCTCTCCGCTATATCCGATACGCGACCAGCAAACTCTACACCTGGGACCTCGAATTGTGGGGGTAGATCTCGAATCCATTGTTATGATGTCTCTTTACGCAATTGGGCTGCGGGAGATATCGGGTACATGGATTGTGGACCCCTCCGCGTTCCAAATCACACCACATCAGCTCGGTCGCATGTATCACCATCGGAGGAAAGTAACTGACCCGTTTTTGGATGAATAGAGATCAAGACTGAGGAGGACCTCCTCCCCCCCGGTGCCAAGCCCGGTACCATCCCTACCGATTTCGTCCAGGCTACCGGTCTCGAGCGTCTCGAGCTTATCGGAAAGATGCAGGGCATCGACATCTTCGACATGCGTCCCCTTGACGCTTCCCGGAAGGGTATGTTGGCATCCTCGGAATCGATATGCACGGCGCGGATCTCGGCTCCGGCGTGCATATGCATAGCTTTCTAGCTTCGGGATCTAATTATGTGTATAGGAACGCTCGAGGACCCCATCATCGTTAACGGTGCTGGTGATGAGCAGTACGCTGGTTGCACTGGTTACCCCGTCGACTCCCACCAGGTTAACTGGTTGACCGTATGACGCACCCTCTCAAAACATCAGATATTAAACTAATATCTTTCCAGGTCTCCCGTGAGCGCCCCATCGAGCGCTGCTTGGAGTGCGGTAACGTCGTCAAGCTTAACTACGTCGGTCCCGAGGAGGACCACTCCCGTACGTGCTCCCCCACCAATCCTTGCTTGCTATATTCTAACCTTCAATAGACGACCACGACCACGACCACGGCCACCACCACCCCCCTCACGTTGAGCCCAAGACCTTTGCCGACTACGTCAAGCCCGAGTACTGGTACCGGTAAATTCGCAGCGCAATAAAACCCATGCGACTGTGAACGGTTTTATAGCATGCAAGTCTTATTCGTGTCTCTGTTTCTGTCTTCGTGGCTTGTGCATCTTTCTGTTTTGTAGAATAGTTCTCTAGTGGATGAAAATGAGAGTGGTCCTGGAGATGTGTGACTAATTTCTAAATCTTCTAAATCATTTGAATGTTGCTCCAGCGTGTATGAACACCTAACTTCTAGTATTCCATTTAGTAGTGTTGTGTAAATGATCGGATAACAATGTGCAATTATTTGTTGTATCTATACAAAACAGATATAGTGTTGAAGCTAATATGAAGCATTTTTAGGCGTAAGACATGAGTTGATCCAAGTCCATAAACAATACGAAATCGTATTGTGAAATTCAACGGCCCACGTACCGCAGCTCCAAGTATCTCAAAGGAGGATACACGAGCAAGGCCCAGGTGAAGCCAACATAGTTACCCATCTATAACCAGGTTAGCAAATGCCCCAGAGATATCAAAGACCAGGGACAACGCACATCAGCACCGTAATCACCAACCAACTTCGCGATAGGCCCAATATACCAAACCTCAGACATACACAGAATAGCACCAACCCACCCAACAACGAAAGCTGCAAAAGCCGCAACTCCAATAGGGAGTTTCTTCGGATCCCGCCACGCAGCCCAGTGGTATCCACTCTTCCTTCGGAAGATCAAGTACTCCTCCAACAAAATCGCAAACCAAATAGCGACCCAGTACCCCATCAACGCGAGGAAGTTGGTGAAGATTTCAGAAAGGTGAGCCCTTCCTACAAGTGCACAGACGATATAGATGACCACACCGATAGTGTTCCAGATAACGCGCGGGACTCTCTCGGCGTAGCGGCCTAGGATCTGGAAATCCACTCCGGCCGAATAGGTCGGTGCGACGGTGTTGGCGATTAGGCCTAGTGCAACGATTACCGAGCAGAATTTGCCGAAGCCGTGGAGAGGGCCGAAGCCTTCGACGATTAGGGCGCCTTGGCCTTTTGCGTAGGCTGTGGCGTATTCGGCGTGGGCGGTTATGCCTGAGCCCAGGCCGATTCCGGAGATGAGGGCGAAGCTGAAGGAGAGGACGAGGCCTGTTAGAGTTAAGGTGAAAATTGTTAGGCGAGAGGTGTGTTCGGGGTAGTAGACGAAGAAGTCTGCTGCTAGTGGGGCGTAGGTGATTGCTGCGCTTAGGCAGATGGAGAAGAAGGATAGTCTTTGGATGTTAGATGGATTCAATAATGGGCTGCAGGGAACATGGCTTACCTGTTCGCGGTTACTGTGGCGGGATCGCCAGTGGATGGGGTAGTCAAGTCAAACTTCACGGATGAGACACCGAATAGAATACAGAAGACGATAAGCTGGGGGATGAAGGCATATCTGGCATCTAGTTAGCTTGAAGCCCGACATGGATGTACTAGTATCGTGACTGACCGTTCATAGTGATGGAAGCCTTGAATGCCAAACGTCGCTACGACCCAACTGATAACCGCAATGATGACAATACCTATCCAAGCCAGTTAGAAGTCGTGTCAAGATAATATAAAGAGGGTGGTTACCATACCGACAGCAACGGACATGCCTCCGGGCGAAACAGCAGACAAGATTTGCCCTCCGACAACACAGTCGACCAAGCAGTAACCGATCATTTGAATCAAGTTCAACAGAACAATGATCTTACTAGGCCACCATCCCATCGAGTATCGGCCAAACGCCTAGTTCAAGATTAGTCCCAATCGCACATGATCTAAATAGTAGTATAGCATACCATAGTCCGAATGCCCGAAACAGGTCCCCATGTCGCTACCCATGCGGCAACCAGAGAACCAGTAAAAACACCAAAGACAGCACACAGAGCCGAGTCCGTGAAACTCAAGCCATAAACTGCAGGCCCCAGCATTCCAAGCGTGATATTGTTGGCCGCCAGATTAATCGAAACCCACAGCAAGAATGCTTGCAGATACGACATCCATGACAACTTCTTCATGCGATCCTCCGGCGCAACACGTTCAATACCTCGTGCCTCCAGGTTATACTCGACGAGCTGCTGCTCGAAGGCTCTCAGCAGGGAGCCCAAGCGCGAACCGACGGGGTTTCTGCGACCAGCCGAGTTATCGACGGGGAAGGGTGCATCATGTATATTCTTGCTATCATCCACAGTTTGAGTGGGGAGTTGGATCGTCTCGTCTTTCTCCGAGCGCACCTGGACGGTGGCGATTTCGTTTTCGGGAGCCATACTACTTCGAATGGGTGTTAGTCTTGCCTTATCGTACGGACAGAGGGAATAGTGTGCGCATGAGTTCTTTCGCTGGAATTATCCAGATCAAGTTCAACCGTATAATCTCAGAACGGCGCTGACAATTACTTGCTGCGCCGAACACCGGTCTGCATGCAGGTGGGTTTACCACTGTGTACCTTGATCAGATAAAAACCAGACTACTTGTCTTCATGATATCCGGGTCCCTGATAAGAGAGGTGGGGGTGTGTACTCGGGCATTTATAACAGGGAAGTGAGGTTGGAGGCGTTATCAGCTTCCCATGAGTCACTATGAAGCAAAGCTGTTAATTGTGGAGGTGGGGTCAATTGCGATAAGCGATACCAACCTGGAGAATCAATGTCCAGTTACTGAGTCAAGGGGTGAAGAGAAGCTCGGGCATTAAACTGCAGATGCATGCAAAAGGCAAAAAGCAGTAAGTGGTACGAGGGAAAGTGCTCTCGCGGGGAAAAGTAAAAATCGGCCGCGGTCTCGGCGTAGTTTCCCGTTCTCCGCCCGCGGATCGTTTATATGTAGATAGTACCAAAGTACTGTATATTTGATCAAATTGATCGAATGTTCCCTTCATGTAAATATTCAGGCCAATGGAAAAGCCACCCCACTAGCACCACTGTTAAACGCCCCAAGCATATAGAAAAGAAAATCGTGGAAATAAGAAAAGACGCGGAAACGCGACCAGAATCACCAACTCCATCTTGCCTTGTATCAAAAGACCCCCAGCGGCCATTTGAAAACACTTTGCATCGCTATGGAATTGCTTAATCCAGGAGTCAGGGATGCCAAATTCATGAGATGCGGGAAAAAAAAACAAAGAAATTAGAATAGGTTCGTCACTCGTCAGCAGGGTCGTCATCAAATGGAGAAATCGGCTCAAAGATTCTTGAAATGCTCTTTGGCGTACTGCTCACAGGCCTATCGGACGCGTCAGTATATAGCAAACTATGACTGTTGAATCTCACGAACCTTAGCGGGCTTGCCCACTTTCTGGCCAATGACCTTCCACTTGTTGGCCTCGTATTCTTTGATCGCATCGCGGAGTTTCACGGACTGGGGAGGTTAGTTAGGGATTGGGATGATCGGCCGAGTCGCATACCTCATCTTCGGCGAATTCGGCATAATGCATATCCTACTTCCAATTAGTATTGATGACACTAACATTGCGCGCGTAGTCCACATACCTTGTACCAATGCTTCTTGACACTCCCTTCAGTGCGAGTAGGAAATGTCTACGATCAGGCCCGGTTAGATATTAAGTCTGTTTCACGACGATCATCTGTTCCCACCTTGGCGATTTCGCTCCAGCTCCGGCCAGCATCGCGCATTGTCTTCAGTCGTTGTTCCTCTTCAGCGGTCCATGGGGTATTGGTGCGACCCTTCTTCTTCGGGACAGGCTCAGGCGCGGGGAGGGACCCAGGATCTTCGATCCCGCCGGGATTCATTTGTCCAGCCATCATGGCGGACGAGCTTGCGGTCGGGGATGATGGGCGTTTGCGTGATGGTGTCTGTTGGGGAATCGGCGCAGTCGGAATAGGAATACCTTCGAACGTGGGCACTCGGTGAAACGGGTGGATTTGTTGTTGGGCGAGAAGATGTGACGGAGCGCTGGTGGTCGCCGACGTCTTAATTCTCTTGGACGTTGGGGGTGAACTAACAAAATCGAGGTCAGTCGCAACGAAATGGTAAAACACAGAAATAGCAAAACAAGGCCAGGCAAACAACACCACAACGCGAACCATCCGAAGTCTCCCAGCCGCGTGAACGGAGATCATAGACGAGGGACTTACGACATGGTGAAGGGCACACGATCTCAATCACACGCCAAATCATCTGTACAAGCAATAAAGCGGCATCGGGGGGTTAGCAGAACTGCTACAGGCGCGCCATGGTCAACTTCTAGGAAAGTGGAAGTGGGCGCTTGTTACACTAAAAGACGATGACACAGGCGCATCCTAGGCAGAACCAGATCGGGACAAGAAGGGAACCGGGAGGGAAGGGAAGGAACCCCGAGCGATTCGCTCCTGTGGGGGATAGGGTCGTGGGATGAGATGGGGGGAGGGGAGTGGAGTCGCGACAAAGGAGAGGGAGCTCACAGATCAAAGTCGCATGGTCTCAGAGTGGATTCGGGAACCTCGAATTCCTCTGAATATGGGGAGAACATGTGGAAGGTGTGTAGGAGGAGTAATGAATATGTAGTGGATGGAGGAAGGGAGAGAGAAAGTTACAAAGGTTGAAGAGGAGAGAAGGAAGAGTGAGAGGGAGAAAGAGCGTGAGCGGGGATGGAGGCACCTCATAACGGTAATCATAAACAGCACAACAACACCCACTTTTTTAATGCTGTATCGGTTTTATTCATTTTTCTTAATGTTTTAGCTGCTTTTTGATTCTAGTTCTGATTTTATTTCTCTGTCTATATCTATATGCGAATTTGTAATATCATTTTGATCATTGAATTAGATGTCATTGAGTTTGATGGGGGAGAGATCCAGAACGTGGACATGTTTAGAGTGTTTGGTTTAGACTTTGTTACTCTCAACCTTCTCCATGTCTCTTTCTCCTCTCTATATTCGAATTAGAACATCCGGTGCATTCCACTTCATCGAGGAACCGATCTCCCGGGGACCCTGTCACAGATGGCTCGTGCAGCCCTCCAATTCGACCATGGACACTGCAGAAAGCAGGAATCGACACGTCCCGGCTCCCCCATGAGACATTTGGGCCGAACAGACCTGCGAGTGGTCTATTCCAGAATCCGGTGACCCGGCAAACGCTCACACCCGTGCGAGGATGACATGCCCTGACCTAGAGCGGCCTAAGACGTGCTTCTTCTTATCCTATTTACTTCGCAAATAATAATCGAAAAATGGCTTCGTTTCAACTTCTGGGCCCTCCGCCTAACCCGATCCTTGGCGGCCTAGTTTCAAGCCACAAGAGGGTTAGAGGGTGCAGCCAGCGTAATCGCTCTATTCCCCCTCTTTTGTGCTTCTGACTTGCATGCGACCTCCGCTATATGTGATAATGGGATCCATTGGTCCCCAAATCTTTATAAGCGACCAAAATAAAACAAAGAACAAGGTTCGGGTATGTATCCATTAGACAGATAGCTGTTCCTATTCTTTACGGCTGCACACATGCTCTCGTACGCAGTGCTCGATCACCATTGGAGGTGGTTAACAGGATGCAATGCAATTTCACCCCTTGTGCCAATCAACGGCCCGTGTCCCCGGGGCCCACGCTGCAGACATGGGGAATGCAATCCAGGATCCTGCGTCTGCTCGAAACAATGTGGCTTGCCCTCTGCAGAAAGAGAAGTTCTGGGTGGAGATACGGCCGGGTTGGATTCTGCCCCCGACTATACTTCTTCAACCAGAAAAAGCACCTTATCGATCGATTCTGATATAGCCGAATTTGGGTCGTCGATGTGGAAATAGGAAAAATTAGAATATTTTGATAGGTCATCTGTTTTCGGAGATCATTGATTGGTTAAATTGATTGATATTGACTGCATCGTGCGACATCTACATCCTCTCGATTTAACGAACATGGATCGTCGAGACTGTCCAGGTTCGCTATAGGCTCTTAATAAACTAAGAAATACGGAAGTGGAGTAGGCACGCAATTGATATATGTACAGTATACTGTCCCTTCAACCAAAAAACGAAACTTGAGATTATAACCCATCAATATTCACCTTAGTTGGTCAACGCCCAATATCACAGGTAAATATAACAAAAAACGTCAGTCGCACTCATAGGACCCTTCATCTGGATTCTCAGCCCAATACTCACCATCCCTAGTGTGACCTTTGACGAAGCAGGTTTATTCACATACGTCTTAGTCCCGACATTCGCATACTGTCAATTCATCAAACCCCAAATTTGTCAGATTGACCAAGCCGATCGATCATGCTATCGTGATGCCAAATCCAAAATTGATTTCAAGCCTGAATTCTGTTCGCATCGTTCCCCAGATGTCCGCCCATAACATGATGTCCATCGTCGTGAAGCTTGATTGAGCCACCTCGGAATCCCTTGGAGCGATGTTTCGAAGTGCCAGATGTTTGGCTGTGGGGGATTAGATGGAGGTCATAAGGGTATCTCGCGAAGCTAGTTCAGTCACATAAACTAGATACGAGCACTGTGTCTGGAAAAGGAAAAGCAGGCACGTAGCTACTGAGGGTAACTCGCAGGCCTCGTTATTTTGGGATGTAGACTTCATTACCGGAGAGCAATATGTTCTGCGGTCAAAAAGGGGTGAGTCCGTCGTGGAGTCGGCACCAGTACCTCAATCCCAGTATCTGTATGATGTGAATGAGAAGATCATTCGCTTGAGGGTGAACAATGGATGAGGGAGATCCACAAGTAGTCGCTGATAGACTGATCCCCATTCATGGATATGATACCAGTCCCCGAGATTTAGGCTAGCGAGAATCCCTGTTGCTTATTAGAATGATCGGACACTAGCGTGGTATGTCGAGAATGACTGGGATGCTTGCAAGGTATGGACTGACTCAATGTACTGAACGATGGATGTAACTATTCTGATCAATATGGGTCGTTAACAAAACGTCATGTCGAGTTCTCGCTGCCAGTGCCAGAGTGGAAGGGGCTCGGGAAGCCAATGTTTGCAGACAAAGAACGATTGAATATAGGTTGAAGTCTCCAAGCATGATGGTATTCCAGGGATTCCAAGGTACTACCTTTTTGCCGCCCGGCGGCAATGTTCTGTGCGGCGTCGAGAGCAGACTGTGCTAGTGACCTGAGGTAATTGTGATCTGACACCCGAGTCGACGGTCTATTCATCATTTCTTTTGGAGAAGTTGTTGGTAAGGCCCCAGATGACGAGATCAACGATGAAAGAAGAACCAACGAGCTTAGGGACCGGATACATAGCGCAGAAAACTCACGACTTACCAACAGCATAATGAAAAAACTGCATAGATATCACCTCCTAAGGCTGTGTATCTGAAGACGATGCTGGGCTTGGGCCGAACGTATCAGGGTTATAGTCCCTTGCGTAGTATGATATCCATTCGGATATTATGGATGCGGGATTAAGATGACGCCTGCTTATCTGCCGTGTACCACGAGGTCTATCACAGCTCATTGGCTCGGGTGTTCTCGAGGCCCTCCACATGCGGCTTATATTGACATGTGCAACCGTCGACCTTTCTCAAAGCCAAGCCCAAAGTCAATAATCTTGTTTACTAAAGCACCCAGGACAAGGTGGGATACGATCAAAATCAAACTGGAGTGAGGCTCATGACCGTTTTACAGGTACTCTAGAATAGCCTTGAAAGACCTACATAGGCAAATCAAATGGCTAGGGTCTTCTATGCTGAGTAAGTGCACATGTGAATGCCATAGCTAAAAATATAATGAGGTCATGATGATTGCGAGGTCGTTGATTGATCTTGGCGGCGCGCTTAGCGCAAATATGCAGCCCTGATGAGCCAGTCTTGAAAAAGCCAGACTCACGTACGGAACGTGCATCATCCAAGGCGGCTCCAGTAGAGTAAGAACCTCCATTATAATAAGGAGCCACCACCTGCAGTCACATTTGAACTTGGTCATGTGCATGGACTTGGTTATATGAATCCACACGTATACTAGCGACATTGGGCTAGTAAATTAGATGATGTACTCAGCGAATCCCGGAAACTCCGCACTGCGATCGAAAAGTTGAGAAACCTAGATCTATATTCATAGCCTATCACTCTGTGCATTTGTTGGCCACCTGTGTATACGGCTGTCTCTTATAGAAGAGCAAGGTTGTTCTCGACCCACAGCGAGTGAGCTTTTGACACAGAAATACTCTAGTAATTGCTGAGACGTTGAAAGCTATGGCAGCTACATATCTGATTTCGTGACTAGTATTAGATAGTTCGATTCTCGTTTGTTGCCGATAGCTGATACATAGCCGTGATTTCCGAGCGGAGTCTTCAATGAGAGAAGTGGAATCTCAGCATGATATGAGGAATGCTTCTGTGTTGTTTCTTAGGAGCTTCAGAGCTGATAACTGTTGGTAAGGTACTTACAGGAATTTTAATATAACCTGTTAGCTGTATAGCCTCGGGATCAGCAGGGCAAACTTGAACTGGAGTCGAAAGATTCGTTCGATAAGAATAAGATTCCGAATAGCTGATGTTGATTTTGACAAAAGCTTCTGTTAGGTGAAGCTGAGGCTAAAAGATCTCAACCCTCGGCTCGGGAGATGTCCTTGTGTAGGTGATGTTTTTTCTAGCAAGCAAAATATAATAGTCCTCATTCGAGATGCTCGAAAAGTTCTCTAACAGGAGCCTCCAATCAGGAATTAAACTCAGGCTTGTTGAATATCCGCTCTCAGATACGGTCAACCTTCATTATTATTTCACAGAAAGCTTAATAGGGACCTGGCGCTATATTTCCACTGAGAACCTGGAATAAACCAATTTTTATTGGTCATACCGAGACCCATGAGTTCAAGTTGATTGTCTCACGGTGTTTGTTGCCTAAGATAATGACGAATTTGCAAATCAAGGTCCGTTTGACACTACCAAATGAGTGTTTGAATAGCGGATCACCCGATCAGTATAGACTAGTCAATCAAAATGTCTGCTATATTTCTCAAGGGCAAATCCATCAGCTATCCATGCATTCCTTCTCTTACTTTTATCATCCTCATCCTCATCTTCATGTCCACCCAGTCGATCCCCCACTCGCCTGAAATGACGCTCCCAGACACGAAAAATCACTGCTTGGATCCTACTATCAATAATATTAATCATGAGGCTTTGAAGATAGAGATTCAGGAGACCATCAAAACGGAGACCAAAGAAGAAGTACAAAACGGGCTCAATGAGATACCCATGTACACCCTTACCACCCCACACTCCGCTGAAATGCTGCTCCCAAGCCCAAAAGCTGGCCAATTGGATACTACTGTCGACAGTATTGAGCGTGGGGTTCTGAAATGCGAAAATGAAGAGTCCATCAAAGAGAAAATTGAAGACAGCTCCCACGTGGATTCCAAAGAGGAGATGATAATCTCCACTCATACCACCCCCCACTCGCCTCCAAAATCGAATGTCAACAGCTTTGATATCAGTTCTGACAGTACTGGCAAAGAAGCTATTATAGAGGAGATCAAAGAGGAGACCAAAAAGATCTTCAAAGAAGAGCTCAAAGAGGAATTCAAAGAGGCTACCAGAGAGGCAATTAAAGAGACTAAGGAGAAGGCTCCAAGGAGGGCTACCAAAAGAAAGATTAATGAGATCCTTGATGATGAAGGTATGTATGCCATCCGCAAAGACATATAATGCTAATATAGACTCATCACTGCAGGATCGGCTGACGTCAACCATATTGCCCCTGTCCCATCAAATACGGTGGATCTTCCCGTTCATCAAGCCTGGAACTCTCTGGAGGAAGCGTACGAGGCGATCCTTGGCTTCGTTCATCGTCAGGGATATGGTGCCACATATTACAAGGGGCCGTATCGCACCAGTCTACCGGAATACGTGCATCTTGGATGCGACCTCCTGGAAATGAAGGAATATGACCGGGTGAAGAAAGATGGCTCGCGGGAGTCAATCAGAGCCAAGAAGACCAGCACCTGCACCTTCGGTGCCATTATTATGAACTGTCTGAACAGCTGGCGCATTGTTAAAATTTCGAGTGCAAGACATAGCCATGAGCCTTTGCCACCGAGAGCCCTTCCAAGCCAGCATAGGCTTGAGCGAAAGAGAAAGGCAGCATTGATCTACCAGATGATTCAAGAAGGATTCGATAATAATGAAACTTTGCAGCAAATTCAACTGCAGGATCCTAAAACCTGTCTCGATCGTGCGGATATCAAATACGTGCGGCATGCTATCAAACAGAAGCATAAATCTGAGCTGTGGATACAGCTTCAAAAGGGTGCTACAGATGATGATCTTCCTAGCCTTGGACCTTCATCGCCGGTAATCTCTGCAAAAAGGCGTCAACTTGAGCAAGATACGAACAAAGCATACATCATTCAGCAGGTTCAACAAGGCTTGTCTAACGAGGCTATCGTGCAAAAAATTCGACTTCAGAATCCAAATTCCCATCTCGATAGCCTTGATATCGCCAACGTGCGGGGAAAACAAAAAAATGGTCAGAGCAATGCTTTGCGGGGACAGGATTTGAAGGGTTCCACAGATGATGATCCTACCGAAGACCATCAGCTTTCAAAGGCGGAATCGAATGATGGCTTAGCAGAGGATTACAAGTTTCTAGTACGGGAAGTGAGTGATGAAAAGGATTGCAAGCTGCCAAAGACAGAGATGGATGACGATCTCATAGAAAGCTACAAGTTCTGGAAGGAGGAAATGCATGATGAGAAGAACTACAAGCTCCCCAAAGAAGAAATGAGTGACCAGAACTACAAGCTGCCAAAGGAGGAGATGTATGATGATCTCGCAAGAGTTTAGGTACAAACACCTGAAGCTGATGATGGGAATATGGCAAAATTGCAAAGTAGTTAATGAGTGGATGGGGGTTTCAATTTTTTGTAGCGTTCTTTTTGCCAAGCTGAAACGCGCAGAATTTGGGCAGCCTGTGTTGACATTGAGAGAGCATAAATTTGAATAATTTGGATTTGCAAGGAGAAACTACCATTTGAGAATTCAATCAGTCATTGCAAAGGAAAGCATGTAGCTCCAGATGTCTTGCAAATTGCTCCCAGTTACATATGCGAGAATTTCTGTAACAGGTGTTGGGGGATACCCACATTTCGCCATCTTTACCATAGCCCTGGGCCAAGAAAAGCCTAACAATATGTGCATCCATGTTCATAGAGGTGGTTGATGGATTTATTGCAACTCAAAACAGCAGCCGATGTAGCTCAAAATAAATATTGGGGTGGGGGTCTCCGAAAACTGCATTTGGGATCGTCACAGAATCCATTCTCTCTCAATCAAGGAGCTTGCAAGAAGAACACCACGATTTCAGAAGAACACCACCGCTAACCACAGTAGGGATAGCGTAGTAGATGTAATCGAAGAGTAGTATTTTTGAGTACATGTCCAAGTACCTACTTGCTCACTTTATTCTGTGGACTACGCTGGAATGTGAAGGTGATCAAAGACTGATACCCACTAAGCTTACTTATATCATGACTCTGATGAAGCGTGATCTCGTATATTGAGGTGGATTAAGCGAAGGTGGTGCGATATCCTTGAGTATTCGAGATAGCATTTTTTTTATGAATTACAATTACTGCGCCATACCAAATATAGAAATGATGTGGTGTCCGACTGATTCGTGGTGTTCGACTAGTGAGCTCCTCAAATCAAATCGCTGATTGCGATATCTGGTTAGGTTCGATGAGATTCGTGAGAAGATGTCGTGATTGGCCAATTGGGAATATTTGTATACAATGCTCTTATCCAAGACAGGAACAATCAAAAAGCAGTTTGCTTAAGTGCTAAGAAGATACTGTATTTCGAGGCAGCAATCTCGATACAAGCCAAAGCACGACTCGATGCTCGTACAGCATCATGTGATCTGATAGCCCCAGCTTATTGATGTCATACATCACGTGAGGACACGCGGCCCAAGCTCGGATCGCTGATAAGGGAGCTCAGCTTCCTTCCCCATGCAAGGCTCCAGTGCAGGTAGGGGGAAAGTGCAGCTTTCGTGAACACTACTTCTTTAACTGCAATAACTTCCTTACGAACGCTTTGAGATAAGGCACAATCATCTTACCCATCTTCGTTGACCGACGCGTCAAACCAACTCCACTTTTCACCCCGCAACCAACCCATTCTACCAGCCATGGGGTGGACCGTGTTTCGCTATCTGGCGGACATATCCCACCTAGCTTCGATATGTATCCTGATCTGGGCAATCCACCGTAACAAAAGTGCTGAGGGTATGTGACCTAGACATTCAGAGCAGGAATTCTGCAACCATCTTTTCTAACACCTGGCTTCTTGGTAGGCGTTTCGCTCCTCACCCAGGGTCTCTATGGGCTCGTGTTCGTGGCTCGATACCTGGATATACTCAAACCATCGTCATGGGCTTTTGGGTATGGAGCGTCACTGTGGAATATCCTCTTTAAGCTCTTTTACCTAAGCTCCTCTTTCTACCTTGTGTTTATCATGATGAAGGTCTTTCCTCGAACACGAGAAACAGAGCGAGCATGGAAGCTTGGAATTTACTCAGTGGCTGGATCGCTGGTGCTGGCGCCGATTGCGATTGCTGTACTGGAGGGGGGTTTCCCAACGACTTGGTTCCTTGAGGTAAGACAGATCTGGATCTTTTACTTTCGCTATAAGATGCTAATAGTCGAGGACAGCTCTGCTGGTCTTTCTCTATCATTCTCGAATCGGTTTGCGTACTGCCACAATTACTACTCTTGCGCCAAACCACCGTTCCAACCGTGATTGATTCCTACTACCTCGCTGCTTTGGGGTCTTACCGGGCATTCTACATTGTGAACTGGCTTGTCCGTGGTTTCAGCAATCCGCCGAGCTGGGATCCGATTGCGCTTGTTTTCGGACTTGTACAGACTGCTTTCTATGTCGACTTTGCGTGGGTTTATTACTCGCGCCAGCGAGTGAAGCTTCGCAACGGCGGAGTGGTTGATTCGGAGGACCTTCGCAAGAGTTGGCTGGTGAACCGTGTTCTCAACCTTCGAGGAGTGCGCGGCTCTAGCGATGAGGAGCAGGGTCTCCGAGAGGATGCGGAGGGGGATGAAAATCGAGCCAGTAACAACCGGTGGGGCGCCCGTGGTGTCTCCATTGCTGCGGATGACACGCTTGATCATCACCAGGCGCATGGGGATATTCAAGACCCTGACGATTTCGCGGGAGTTTTGGGGGACGAGGGTTCCGACGAGGATGACCATGATCTTTCTAGTCCGCGTCACCAAACCACCGCATGATACACATGATAGTCATGTAACATCTTCGCTTGATATATCACAAGTTAGAGGATCATGATAGGAGGATATTGATGTACAAGGGCAAACCCTATCACTGGGCTTTTCGATGTTAAGAAGCGTGCATATCTTTTAGGTTTATTTTCTATATTTCGGGAGCGGGTTCGTCTATCAATGCAGATTCGCAAGGCACAATCACAAATAGTATCGTATAAACCATTCATTTAGACAAGGCCCCCAAGTCTGGCTGCCTTACACGTCAAGCTAATAACGAACATCATTTATACGCCTATCGGGTTTCGCCGATGCTTCGGACTACTTTAGATGCCGCCAATCGGGCTTTGTAGAGAGTGGGAGGTCGAGAACCTCGTCAGCCCCATTGATTTGCGGCACATTCTCTCGCATATTGACGGGTTTATCAAGAAAAGAGCCCCTTTCCAACCACGCTAATGTGCCTGCAGCACTGCGGCACTGCAGGGCTAGCCATGAGGCCCCCAGATCGCCTGGGGTTACCGTACTTGGAAATTTTCCTCCGTAGTCTACGTACTACGTCGGGGCTACAGAGTAGAGCTGCACTCCACAGCAAAATCAAGCGTCAATCCAGTCAGGTATTGACACTTTTCACACCACCCTTTCCAACAATCTTCCCCTCATTTGAACTCGTCATAAACACCTCACCTGAACTCTCCACTACAGGTCAGATCTCGGGCGCTTAATAGCCTGACCGCGTAGGACCAGGGAGCTTAGTGTGGGGTTCGGGTAAGATGCCAAGCCAAGCCCACGCCCCGAACAGGATAACATGGCCCAAATAATCCGCCTTGCGGCTAAAGGGCAGTGCACGGTGTCAAAGAAGATTCGGGAAAAGCATATCAAGGCCAGGGTCCCCTGCTGGGCGCTTAACCATGGGTCAAGAATTCTCCGGAGCAAAAGCCACTGCGGCGCGCGGGTAGCCTTTCAGCCTCACGGACCCCGGTTTGCATCCGGCCAGTCAAGAGCCGCCGGTGACAAACTCCCTTTCCATTAGCCCCAATTGCTTTTTTCTCCTTTCTTTTCTTTTCTTTCCTCGGCAAGACCTAGATGGACATGGGCCCCATTCGTGTTTGGCCTTCTAATTTTCATTTTCCAGTATTAAAGGTGGAGACTGACAGCAAGGAGACCTAGGTTTGTTGGCTTGGTAGGGAGTTGTGTATTAGGGTATCATCCTATGATTCTTAGATCCAGGTCTCCAAGGCGGATTCCAAATTAATTAGTAAAAGATTCAGCCTCGACCATTTTAGGTTTAAGTAATGAATTCTGGATTTAAGGATAAATCCCGCTGGAGCTAGGAATTGTGCAGAGCGGGGGCGAAAGGCGAGTTAAGTATATCAGTGCGAATCCCTGCAGAACACATGGATAGACGAATTGACATGCACTAAATGCACTAGGCCCAATTTGAGGTCACTAGATTCTCAGCCCCAATAATGCAGGCAAATCCCGTAGATTTCGGCCCTTTGCCTTAGCCCATCCTTTTTGACCCATTTCCAGACCCTTGGGTGTTTTGTTCTATTTTGATTTCCTATGATGTTGTTTTCCCCCCCTTGCTCTAAGATCCTTTACCCGTTGAAGACTTCTCGATTTGGCCCTATGATCATTCTTCAGCAGATCCTGCAATCATTGTTCTCGGGGGTGTGGGTGGAAGGATGGGGGCCGAAAATGTTGAATATCAAGAAAACGGGACCATTGCATCCGTAGGCGCTTAAATATAGGCCCTCGACGTGTCTACACATCTCCTCCCCGAGCGGTTCTAATGCAGCACAGCGGCCATCGGCGTTACTAGTCCTTGCTTTTCTGTGCACTCTGAGCCTATAGTTCACCACGCCAGAACGTTTGTTCATCCTGCCTTGCAAGGCATTCCAGTGTAGGCTGTGATATCGCTTTCTCCAATGCATTTGCGAGAGTTGTCTTTGACTCTATATCTTATTCCTTCGACCCCCACCTGTACCTGGACAGATCCTTCATCTATAAAGAAATCATTCCTTCAGCTCTTCTTGACGATATTCTGACAAGCTGCCGCACGCCATTTCTTGTTTGTTTCATCTACTAGCCGCTTCCAACCATCAATCTTCAACAACCGCCACGTTCAGAATCTGCTGCACGAAGAACCCCGTGTTTCAAATCTTTGCCACCATCGCTTCTGGTTCCAATCAATTACAGTTGTGCAACCTTCTGGAAGTCATACATGGTTCTACCCGGCCACCGTGCGAGCATCATGTCCTTCCATGACGACAGCTGCTCACCAGAGGAGGTACCGTCCTTCTACGATGTTGAACCAAACTGGGCCGGGGTCGAAACAGTATGTCGCCCCCGTCTACTATTGGCCCCCGGGGCCAATAACCTCCACTAAGACCCACGTTTCCGAGAACTGACAGTACTATCTTTAGCCCGAATTTCAAGCCGCCTTTCTAGGTGTAAACGCACCCTACTGCCCAGAGCCAATAGGCCCATCCGCACTCCTGACCCCAGTCAGCCTCCCCGACAGCTCGTTCCGGCCGAGTCCCGCATTGAGCCATCACTCGCAAGAATACGTCCCAGAATACCAATATGTCGGCAATTCCATAGCTCCGCAAGGCCTAGGAATCAGCGCACCATTCCCCAACGACTTCCCCGTATCTTCAGCAGCACATCTAAATACATCCTACATCTATGCTCCAGATGATTATCAACAACTCGAATATGGCCTGCCAACCAATACATCCAGCATGTCGCCGCAAATGCAACCTCAAGCGCAAATCCACACGCAAGGATTGGCACCTAGACGCAGGAGGCGCGCGCCATCTCAATCAAGGTCTCACACACCCTCCCGCGATACACCACTCAATATCATGCCCCACCCACAGGGAATTGAGCGTATGGAACGTGAGCGATTGAACCCCCGGCCCCCACCACAGGTGCACCCCCGACCCCGGGCCCCCGGAAGGGGACGACGGGACCCACAGGCCGAAGAGGAAGATGCATTTGTAGAAGAATTGCGCGAGAAAAATACGGCGTGGAAGGTTGTTCGGGAATTGTATCGAGAAAAATTCAACAAGGATGCTTCGGAGCCGCGATTGCAGATGCGTCAAAATCGTCGGCGTGAAAGAAGGAATGCACGCTGGGAAGATCACGATGTGAGTACGTGAACCGAATTCCGGATCTGCCGTGAGGTAGGAAGGGTGATGTGTGTTTTTTGTGGATCGCGTGCTGATTGTGAATGTAGGTCCAGCTTCTTATCAGGGCTAGTGCGATGTGGGAGAAGGAGAAGTATCGGTTTATTGCGGATAAGGTAAGCCTCCGAGTCTAGTATCAGACCAATGTAAACTGGATTTGTGAATCTAGTTTCCATTATTTGTGTGGCATTGGTCTCGAATAGTTACTAATCTTTAATGTTTACTTTAGATGAAAGAACTCAATGCTTCAAAAGAATATACACCCCACCAATGCAAAGTTCAATTACGTCTCATCGAGACGAATGATTATCGTCAAAACATGGACATTGCCTCACCTTCAGCAATGACCGATCCTCCTCGTTCGCCACCTGTGATACCAAGATCAAGAAAGCGAGCGCGTCCTCAATCATTGGAACCGGAATAATGCATGCATCTCCTTACATTTCCAACTTTCAAAACGTTCCTTACATTTCTGAGCATTTATAAAGCATTTTCATTTCTTTACATGTTTGTTCTCAGGCATGACTATATTAGCATTGCATCATTGCATGGGATTAGCGTTGTACTATGCCATTTACTTGCACTTCTCTTCTATCGGATTTCGGAAACATGTATTGATTCCATACATTCAACAAGGAATATCATCAAAATATCGGCAAATGGGATTTGGCCGTACATACTCAACTACCTACCTCAGTAGGGCCTTAGTTCTGTACTTGCCAAGTAGCTTGCCACACAATCGACATCATGCATAGCGATCTACCGAACAACAGACCCACCCGGCGTACATTAAGCTAATGATGAGTTTCAGCCCCCGACGAATAAGATTCATGGATTTTGTTTCTAAGTATATTTAAGGTGGGAATTGTGTTTCATCTATTTAGGACGAATCGGGGCCATGCATTAGTCACTATTTTCCTTGATATGGGTCCGTACTTGCCTCATGTGTTTCTTCATTTAGAATTCCGCCGCTTCAAACCGTTTGGGCTTTTGATGTTACACTGCATAATTTGGGGTGATGCATGTTATGTAGCTAAGGTCTGGTCGCATATATCTATGTTTGGGTCATGCGCTGATGAGTGTTCTATTTGAGGGCGGACTATTTTGTTGGTAGTGCTTGGCTTGAGTTGGGCTGCTATGAATCGTATGATGAGGGGAAAAGGTCGGATGAAATGTCCAATTCGTGAATTTTGGGTATGGGTCTTGCGACTCTAGTAAACTTTCATAATATTCATCAAGTTCTATTTTTCAACCTCATAGATGACAGTTTAGGCCTCCTCGTCGGAATAGAAATCATCATCGCCGACAGGGAATGTTAAAAGCGCCGCGATACCTCCAAGTCCCTCCAGACGCTTTCCACTTTCGTGATCGGAGCTGAGAATCCGGACCTCACCACCTTCCACATCCCGGACCCGATCAACGAGTCCAACCCATCGTTTCCGTTCCGCAATATTTTGCGATCTGAATAAGCGGTTGGACACGATCAACACACCACCACCACGGCCGACGGCGCCCTGGTCCACCGCTGACTCGACCTCGCGTGGACCGTATGTAGCTTTGTTCGTCTCCTTGCGTAATTGATCCATGAAATCGTCCATTAACTTGGTCTCACGCGCGTACTTTGTATCGGCCAAAAGTGTCTTCACGGCGGGAGATTGGAGGACCTCCGATAGAGAGTTTGTGTACCCTGATGCAGAATGCACAACCACGACGCTGGAGAGTAGTCTTCTAAGGGCGGGTGTTGTAGATGCTTCTGCCTGAATGTATTTGTGGAATCCCGTGGCAACAAACCCGGGTGAAGCTAGTAGAATAGGTCTCACGGTCTCGTTGTTTGAGCCGGAAGTAATGCTGGTATTAAATTCCATTTGGCGGAGGAGTGTTTCGAGTGTGACTTTGAAGAATTTTCCCATGCCCTAATTGATGTTAGGTTTCTCTCCAATGATAGCCAAAGTCTCAAGACTGCCAGTACTTACTTTGTCATGATCTCCTCCACCCTGTCGTTTCCTCGGCACAGACATCTCTATTTTCTGCTTCAATATTGTTTGGAATTGGCCAATGAAGCAGATATGTGCCAGTCCTTCTTGCATTACAACGGCGATGGCCTCTGCCCGACGTTTCCCGCCCTCATCGACAGCATCCTTGAGCATCTCCACCGCAATGCTGTCCCACCCAACACCCTCACCATCTGAGCCGACATCTTTTTCTAATGTGAAATTGCGATTCAACTCCAGATCAAGGGTGTGGAATTGTCCGATCTTGGTATGCGCCGTCTCATTAACAATTTGTCCCGAAACATGAAGCTGCGAGCTCTGAGGATCGAAATCAAGGTTCTTCACGCGGATCTCAAGGTTTAGATGTACTCGTGCGGATGAGGTTGATCCGGTATCTTGGGTGGTAGTGACTCGGCGGATAGCACTTGCGCGTAGAAGGTCTCCGGGTCGAATGAGGTTGTATGCGTGCCACTAAGTTGGAATGTATGAGCTTGGTGTCTGCTAATATATGAGATTGTTGCTGAGATTCTCATACCATATCTTCGGGCTCTTCCGGGAATAATGTGACAGTGCCGGAGCCATCATGCTCGATCTTGTTCTTCACAAGACGCATGGTTGTAGAGAGGAATTCACTCGGACTGTTTATGATCTGAAATACGTCAAGGTCAAGAAATATTATCCTGAATCGCGTCTTGCTGCCCCGCACAATACTGCCACTGGTCACCGCTAATATGGTGAGGCTGCTCTATAGAATGTATGTTGATTAGCTTTACTCAGCAGAAACTTCTTGCAAATATAGAGCTTTAATTGTTTTTTTTATGCCCTTAACAAGATCTTGGTTGGGTCCTCGGGGTCAATTTGAGGTTGCACATGATGGTGTATACATAGATGCCTGATTTGTGCCCTCGAATGCGTTCCTCGTCCGCCAGGCTACGTCATTGAGAAGCAGAATCAACTTGACTATTACTCCGAAACCACAGTTTTTATTCACAAACAAACAAATCCATAGTGGGATCATTATGTAAAAAAGCCGATAAAAGTCCCCAAGCTTCCAGTTAAAATGCCATTGGCTTCATCTAGCCCCGCGCTTTTCGACAAAGAGATGGAATAGTCCCATGAACCTCGGGTCAACTGGTGGGCTCGGAACTCACCTTCCCAAGTAGGTATTTGGGTAGATCAATTATGGCCATTCAGGAATTTTAGCAATTCCAGGGTCACAGAGTCTGCAAAATTCTAATTCCAAAGCCCCAGTCATCGGCTTAACCCGCTCCCCACTTCGTTAATTTCCCCAAAAGCTCGGCCGTGGAAACGCGCGGAAATGATGGAACCGAAGTGGTCCGTGTTATCAATCAGTGAATCTTCAACTTCTCCTCTCCATCTACTTTCTTCACACTCTTAAAATACAGACACTTACTCACTCCTGAGGCTTCTCAACATCTTTAACCATCGGACTTCTGCTCGATTTTTTATTATCAAGTACCTGAACCTTTCGCCACTGCTAATTTAATTCGGACCATATCTGCAACATGGCTGGACTCTCACTTCAATCAACCCGCAAGATGGTGTCGGGATATGAGATCCCCGTGGTCGGCTTTGGTGTATGTGTCTCTATCAACTCGTTGCTTTCAAGATCTGGATCTCTGACATCGCTCCTTCACTCTAGGTCTACCAGACGTATGACTCCACAATTCCGGGTTATATTTCCGAGCTCGTTACTTACTGATATGGTAATCTAGACCCTCAGATGTCACCGAGAGAGTGACGCTCAAAGCTCTCGAGTTGGGATACCGTCATGTAAGTCACTATTCAAAACCGCTAACCAAGCACCGGTCGTTGGTATTGACTGTTCGTCTAGGTGGATAGTGCCAAAGTCTACGGCAATGAGAGAGAAAGCGCTTCGGCCATCCGCAAGTCAGGACTGGATCGATCCCAGATCTTCTACACTAGCAAAGTTCCCCGCTCATGCATGGGTTACGAGAAAGCCAAGCAGGCTATTGAAGAGAGCATTGCGGCTGCCGATCTCGGCTACATTGACCTGTATGCTTCTACATCTCTCACAATAGCGACGAAAATACTGATGCGCCAGTTAGCTTGTTGATCCACGCACCCTACGGTGGCAAAGAAGACCGCTTGGGTGCTTGGCGCGCTCTGGTCGAAGCCCAGAAGGCTGGCAAAATCAGATCATTGGGTGTGTCTAACTTCGCCATCCAACATCTGGAGGAGCTGGAGGCATACATCCAGGCGGGCGGTGGCGGTCAGATTTCCGTCGGCCAGTATGAGATCCACCCCTGGTGCCCTCGCGAGGATGTTGCCGAATGGTTGCAGAAGCGCAATGTCATTGTTGAGGCATACTCGCCCCTTGTGCAAGCCACGCGCATGAAGGAGACTGTTTTGCAGACTCTTGCTCAGAAGCACGGAAAGACTCCTGCTCAAATCCTGGTTCGCTGGAGCTTACAGAAGGTATGTGCTTATGAATCTAGGTGAGAAAGCAAAAAATTAATGTCCTTGTCATCTAGGGATATGTGCCTTTGCCCAAGTCGGTGACCGATTCGCGTATTCAAGAGAATGCGCAGGTCTTTGACTTTGTGCTTTCCGCGGAGGACATGGCTAGTCTGAAGCTAAACTCGTATGCGCCTGTGTGCTGGGACCCTGTCCGGGACTGCAAGATCTAAATGGATCCCCAGATAAAGGTGGACAAATGAGTAGAAATGAATAGAAAAGAAAAGAAAAGAAAGAAAAGAAAAAAAAAAAAAGAGAGGAGAAAAAAAGCAGGTGAAGCTTTCCAAAAATATGAAGCAACGTGAAGATGCAGAATGGAGTACCATGTGGCTTGCCTCTGGGCCGACCTTGATCCAAGAAAGGACTGTCTACGATGAGCTTACTTCAGGTGTTGTTTCAACCTTGCATCCTGGTGCAAGCAGCAAGTGCGACTTTCAGAGAAATCGATCAAATACTTCGGTGCTGAAATCAAACTATTAGCATGCAAGACCATATATTAGATGAAGCTATCCTCCATTATGGATGTGGAACCTATAGTTGCCAATAACATTAAATTTTTTCCCAGTCTCTGATTCAACGCGTGGGCAAGTAGACACGCGGTGTTACCGGCCAAATTAGGAAATTTGTTGACCATCGGCACAACGTATCGCCGTCAACAAAACCCCTCGAAATCAACCAACGGCTATGACGCACGACTTTCAATAAATCACATCTGTTCCCCATGTGTGGAATTATGCCAGGCAGTCGCACGCGACGGTTGCCTCCAAAATGCCACCAGATCGGCCCCGAATCATCCTTGAGAAATCCAGCACGGTGAGACGCCGATACCAGCGCAGCGACAAACGGTTCAGATTCACCGCCGAGCAACTGAAGCGCATTGAACGCGAGGAACAACGAGAGAAAAAGGCGAAGGAGCTCCGCGAAAAGGATAAGAAGCGTATTGCGAACAAAAAGAAGAAAGCCGACGCCGACGCGAAGGCCCGCGAAGAGGCTAGACGACAGGGCTTGCCTGATCCCACCGCAGGAAAGATCCCGGCTAGTCAGCCTCTGCTCTCGACATTCCTCTTCGGTGCAAAGAGACCATCTCCATCGGAAGAGCCCATTAAAGGACCAACACCTGAGCCTTCCCCCCAATCTTCGCCTGAATCAACACACGAGCCTACGCCAGAGCCTACACCTGAACCCACTTCCGAGCCTCCACTCGAACCTCCTCACGAACCTCCTCACGAACTTTCACACGAATCTCCACAAGAGGATGCGCCCGAGCATGAATCCCAGCCTGTAATTGCAGAGTCTGAACCCCGCAATGATTATGGAAATACGGAGGCCGACAGCCAAGCCGGGGACACCGAGCCAGACTCAGATTGTTTTGACGACTTGGACGAAGAATTGGAGCAAGAGCTTTCTATTCTCGAGGGTGCAGCCACTCCGAGGGACCCCAACACCCATAACATGGGCTTGGAGAAGAACAAAGAGACGCTAGACACAATTGATGATGATGATGAATTCTCCGACTGCTCAGCATTCGACGACGAGGACATCCTCAGAGAAGCCGAAGCGGCTGCAGCCACACAAGCGAGCCATCGCGTAATAAAGTCTCCATCCATAACCTCTGCATTATTACAACCAATCTCGAACGAACCCCCGCAGAATACCGTGGGCACCATAACTTCGCTCAGTGATTCCTTCCGCGACGATACGGCGGACTACTTAGAAGATATCTTTTCGCGAGGATGTGGTGACTCATTTGGCGAACTTATGCAATTGGGCTCGAAACCTCGACAGGCCCCCATTTGAAAAGTACCAGCATATTGCTCACGGAATAATGTCCATTTTTAATTCAGCATCTGGAGTTTTGGAGTATGAGGTCTTGGTACTGGGCATGTGGAACGAATCTGCTTTGGGAGTCCTCCAATTGGGATCTACTAGAGGCGGCCCTCACCTATATGACGCAGCTTGGAAAATACCTGACCTCCTTTTTCAATCGTCTTTCGCAATAGAGGGCGATGATTTTGATTCTCATCTCTGGGCAAGAGCTCAGCAATTTCTGGATGAGATACTTTCACTCTCTGCCACAGCGGCCTCCAGCCATCGCAATCCTCCGCATCAACTTCTGCGTCGACCTCAGCGCCTCTTTCAAGTAGCAACTGAACAATCCTCCTGTGCCCACGCAAGGCAGCCAAGCTCAGGGGCGTCTCAAAATGGTCCCAATCTGATGGAGCCATGTACTTCACTCTATCAGTCTTTGCCTCTATATCAGCCCCTTTGTCAAGTAACCATTCGACAGTCTGTTTCTTCCCCCACTCAACTGCCATATGTAGGGGTGTCCAAGAATGCTCAGCTTTCGCTTCTAAATCGGCGCCCCTTTCAAGTAGCATCTTAGCAATCCTCTCACGCCCATACAGAGCAGCAATGTGCAGAGGCGTTCGACACTGTTCATCTTGTGCGTCTAAATCAGCGCCTCTTCCAAGTAGCATCTCGACAGTCGTGCTCTTGCCCCCCTTAGTAGCAAAATGCAGGGGTGTCCATGAAGATTTATCTTTCGCGTCTATTTCAGCGCCTCTCTCAAGAAGCAGTTTAGCAATCGCTTCAAATCCACCAATAGCAGCACGATGTAGGGGAGTCCAGGAATGTTCATCTTTCGCGTCTATTTCAGCGCCTCTTTCAAGAAGCAGTACAACAATCGCTTCAAATCCACCAATAGCAGCACGATGTAGGGGAGTCTGATCAGCAGCATCCCTTGCTCTTAAACCAATGCCTCTGTCAAGTAGCAGCTTAGAGATGTCCTCAAGTCCATACCGAGCAGCATGTAATAGAAGTGACTCGAGGCGTCTGGCATGCGGTCCATCGTGTTTCTCGAGTAAAACCTTAATGACATTTTCATGCCCATTTGCAGCAGCAGATGATAGATATGACAGAAGACTTTTCTCATCGATAGCGAAACCCCAGCTAAGTAGTGACCAGATAATTGCCTCGTAACCATTTTTAACGGCCCACAACAGCATCTGCTCGAAGGCTCTATCATTTTTGACCGCAGCACCCCTCTCAAGTAAGATTTTAACAATACCATGATGTTGATTTGTGGCCGCCCATGATAGCGGTGTCTGATTGCCACGATCTTTCGCATCGACTAAAGCCCCCCTCTGAAGCAGCATCTTAACGATACCCTCATGTCCGTACTGGGCCGCCAAAGAAAGCGCCGCGCGACCAGAATCATCTTTTGCTTCTGTTTCGACGTCGACGTCGCTTCGTGTCAAGAGAAGCCATACAAGTCCATCGTCTCCGTTTTCGGCGGCTTGTGGTAAGGCCGTTGCGTTTTCGAAGTTCATCAACTCAGACAACTCATCGTGGCTCCAAAAGCCCGCATAATTATCCCGATTTTCTCGAGTCCACCTCATCTTCCGGGTTATGCGACTGACTTGGATACATATTCTTCTGACTGGATACTGGGAAGGTCGAAATCTTTTAAGAATAACTTCCTCCCAAGTATCACTCTTAACTCTCATAAAGCGTTCCATTGTGAAGGACAAATCTTTCACATAAATAGCAATGAGCCTGAGGTCGTCTTTATCAGTTTGATCTTTGCATTGGAGGATCGCGAGTCCCACCCCTCCGCAATTTATCCCTAAGAAGGGAAGTTCCAAATAGATACCCCTACTACTTATAGTAGGAGGATTGCCAACGGAGCCAAACTGATTAGATTGGATGATATTATAAGAATTGGCGAATGCAGCTGGGGAGGTGGCTAGTAGCCCGGCCCGATGGTCGTTGTGTTGCCAGGCAAAAATGGTATGATCATCCGATATACGCATAATCTCTTCCTGTAGCCTGATGAAAGAGGTTTCTCGTTCACCATATATCAATGGCATGTTGACGCCAAACAATCCCATAAGGCTATAGGCCCAATCTTCAACTCTAGATGTTTTTCTCTTTGCAGCCCAAGACATTTTCTGAGCGACACTAAATGTGTCGAGATCATCCTCTCCAGAGAGAATACCAATAGGTATACGGGTACAGTCAGACACGATACGTTGAAGTTGAAGGTCTTTCTTATGCCCGAGCTCTTTCCATTTCTCATCAAAGAACGTAATGTTTCCAGGAGCAATAAGTTCCTGAAGGGTCCACCCTCTAGTAAACCATCTGCTCTTTTTGAATTCACATTTAGATGGTACATCTGCAAGATACGCATAGCATATTTCGGCTTCTTCATACCAACTGTACATCGAGTTGATGGCTTCCGAGAGTTCTGCGCTGCTTGCTTTATCGATGCAGCATGTGTCTATCCAGACATAGTTGAACCCGCTGGCTAGAGCAAGAGCGCAACATCGTGTGATTTTGTCAAATCCTTTCTTTTTCTTCGCGCCATATCCTTGCATATCCTGCAGACTGACTTCCTCTTGCTCCCAAGTGTGGGAGAGGATAGCATATGGCGGAGCGTTATAGTCTGTGAATTCTTCGATGTTGAAGCTGCCCGAGTCGGACTCTCTTGTGTTAACTAGGCGCATAATTTGAGTTTGTAGGTCTTTTGACGAGTGAGATAGCGCTAGGTGCGCGACACAAATGAAATGCTCAATCAAGTGTCATTCCAAGGTTACTTCGGTTTGGCTCAGGCTGATGAAGATTAGGACGATTCCTGTCACGCGGGGTAAAATAAGGGTGCCTTACTAATAGGCATTTACACTTTGACCTCTTCTATACGAAGGCCCATGGCCTTGACAAACAAAACCGATTTGTATACTACCGGGCAGCTTTCTTACTTTTAGTGCCATGCCAAATTGAGAGACAAGGAGACCCCAAACGGTCTTGCGGCTTTTTATGTTTAGGGTTTCGGGTAAATCCCGGAAATGATTGGTGCAAAGTCACCCAGCCGGGTAATGATGTTGGCAAGGGACACTTGACGAAGGTTTTAGTGTTTCCCCTCCGCGATCCACTGTACCTGAATACCATAGAGCGGAGCTTGTGAGTGACATGTATGGACTGAGTAATCTACGGTTGAAGTTGTGCATTCGACATTTTAAGGCCCCCTATATCAGGTCTCAACTGGCGAGTACTACCCTACGTAAGCTGGAGATCTCGGCATTGAACTGAGGTTTACAAGATGCGGCTTCAATGCTGGAATATAACCCGTAATTGCGCCCATTTGCATCATTGGGCAAGATGGAATATCGTACCCTGTATAAAGTCGATCGACATGATCTGGTGTAATGTGGTGCCTGGGCCCGCCAGAATCTAAGCGGGGTTCCCGACCTCTTAGCCCCCGGGGCCGCCCTTGTCTTGAGCGGAGATTCTGTATCCACATTGCCGAATCCTGCACCAATGCACCGCTTTGGATAGCCAATAAAGCCACAAGGCTCGCAATGGTGCGGTCTTTATGGTCTAGTGTATAATGAGTGGGCCCGGGACACCTGTCGGTCTTTCCATCTAAATGGAGAGGCTACAGCCGTGCGGAGCAATCGAGAAAGCGATTGGCTTTTGCCTGCTCCCAAGGAATGCCTTTCATTGTGCCAAGGGTAGCCAACATAATGGGTGAACCGCGCACCAACAAGGAGCCCCTTATTGTTGCAGGTTGGTGCGTGAGTATTCATATTATATAAAGATGGGTTCGCTCTGTGGCCTGATCAGTTTTCTTCGCAAATCATTCATTCAAATCGTGGATGATCGATACGTACGTCGCTTCTGCCCTTGGTTTGTGTGCCAACACTTGATCAGGTCATAATGCGTTCACACACACTTCTATACTCCCTTTTTGCGTCCGCGGGTGTGGCGGTGGCTACAAAGTCCTGTCGATGCCTCCCATCGGACCCTTGCTGGCCTTCCCATGCGGAATGGCAAAGCTTCAACCGAACAGCCAATGGTCGTGTTCATGCATTAAGGCCGGTCGGCGCAGTCTGCCATGGATCCGCGTATAATTCCGCAGCATGCGCTGTTGTTCAAGAAAATGAGTATGACTCCATCTGGAGGGCAGACCAGCCAGGTATGTCCCCGCGGTGCAATTTCAACAGACACAGGCTCAAAAATGATTGACAGGAGCCGTGGAATGGCCAAACTGGGAGGCATGGCCCGAACAGAACCAGTCATGCTACATCGACTCCAAGAAGTCAATCCCGTGTGGCCAGGGACGTATATCACTTTACACCCTTCAGGCCGAATCATCAGAAGGTATCCAAGCCGGTGTGAAATTTGCCCGAAAGCACAATTTGCGGGTAGCTATTCGTAATAGCGGTCATAACCACGCTGGGCGATCTGTTGCTCCAGAGTCGCTGCAAATAAATACGCACTTAATGGTCAATAAGACTGTGCACACGAACTTCAAGCCCGCCGGTTACAATGGTGCAGATGGCGGTGTGGGTCTTGCAGTGACCCTTGGCGCTGGTGTTGAGCTGTACGACATGTACACATGGCTGGCTGAGAATGATATCATGGCCGTTGGTGGCTCGGCACATGGTGTGGGTGTCACTGGAGGGTATATCCAGGGAGGAGGTCACTCCCTTCTTGCTGGTATCCATGGCATGGCCTCCGATAATGCCCTGGAGTTCACTGTGGTTGTTGCCGATGTAAGTCACTGTTAATTATAGCTTATTCTAGTAGTCAGGACTAACTGGCTGCCCAGGGGAGACATTTGACTGCCAACGCTTACCAGAACTCCGACCTCTTCTGGGCTCTCCGTGGTGGAGGCGGCGGCACTTGGGGTGTTGTCACCTCTGTGACTGTGCGAGCATTTAATGACGCCCCGTTCGTGAGCTTCTCCATTTCGGGAGGCGCAGAGTTCGAGTCAGATGAGTACTGGAACGCAGTCGAGTATTTCCACTCGTTCCTACCCAAGTTCAACGAGGCAGGTGGAAGCTTGTACTACTGGCTGATTCCAGATTACCCCGATTCCACGCTTGGCCATGTGTCAGCCATCAGTGCTGAAGGTGGCTTCGGAAACGCGACCAGCAAGGCGGCTGTTGACAATTTCATGCTACCGCTTGTCTACGCGCTCGGCAATCTCACCGGCGCCGCCTTCACCTACTCTTCAACCTATATCCCGAAGGCATCCTCCCTGTATGTCGCAGAATTCGAAAGCTCCGACTCAGTCGGCACACCTGTCATCCTGGGCTCGCGTCTCATAACGCGCGATTTCATGGAATCGGCCGCAGGACCAGGGAAACTGACAGATGCTCTTCGAAGCCTGCGTGTGTACCCGGGAAACACAACTTTGGGCCAAAATGCGATCCAGGGTCTTGTCGTAGGTGGGCCGGCTGTATGGGCCAACGCCGGTGTTATTGACAGTGCGCTGCACCCTATCTGGCGCAAGGCGCTAGTCCATGTTATCCTCGCGCGAGGATGGGACATTGATACACCGGTCGCTGAACAGCAGGCAATTCAGCGGAACTTGACTGAGGTTGAGGTTCCGATTCTCAAGACGCTGGATCCCGCACCGGAAGGTGGCTGTTATCTCAATGAGGCGGACGGTTATGAGGAAGGTTTCCAGGACAGCTTCTGGGGTTCCAATTATGCACGTCTCTATAAGCTCAAGCAGAAGTGGGATCCTGAGAACTTGTTCATTGTTCGAACTGGTGTTGGTAGTGAGGATTAGGATGCCGAAGGGTTGTGTCCCAAGTAGAGTGATATGTACGAGGTACGGAGGAAGGTTTGAGCCAAGACAGATTGGATGGTAAGATTGTAGAGAGTGGCCCTTTTGAGTCCAATCCATGATTTTTGCTTTCGTCCCACAACCTTAAAGCGTGTCGCAACAAAGTTCAAAGACCATACAAATAAGCTTCACACTAGAAGGGCCCTGATTACGTCAATATCCGTCGTAGATGTCGAACTCATGCAGGCAAATTTATTCCTCTTTCATGAACTTCTTATTGAAAAACCATCATGAGAAGCAGATAATCAAATTATCTAAGCAGCGATGGTCTCTATACCCGCCAGCTATCTTCACTTGGTTGGTGATTCAACGAAACAGGAGCGTGTTTTAGAACGGACTGGAGACTTTTCAGTTCTTCAGAGGTTCAGATGGAACGTCTGCCTTGAGGGAATCAAGCCTCTTAGTGCAGGCCCAGTTGATTTAGCTGGGCTCCTACAAACGGAATTGATACTTCGAGAGAATGACCAACGCGAAGTGGCCATCAAAGAGACAATCCGACTTATCAGAAACGCTTCTGGCAATAACGAAGACAAAGCCCCTCTGATTGAAGATTTAAAAATGGAGATTAGAAAGCTCCGAAAAGAATACTGGCTGTTACAACGACGTTGGTGGGAAGTTCGGTCCTCCTTTCCAGAATGCCCTCTTAGTAGAGGAGTAGACCTTTGGCGCTCGCATCCGAAGTGGTTCTTACACCGATGGCTTTGTGATGATTGTTCTGGGCGCGGAGGCTGTTGTGGAAGAGATTGTGGATGCTGTGCTAAACGCTCCAATAGGCCCGGGCGAAATTTAGCTATCGGGCATTGCACAATAGAGTGTCACTGTTGCGAGCAAGCCAGGGGGTTTCGAATCGATACAAAGCATAAATCACAGGTTCAAAAAGCACTTTGTTTTGATCAAGACTACAGAAAGAACTCTGTCTATGCGAAACGAATGATCCAAATTGCAACTCTAGGCCTCACGATCGGGAACTTCGATAACCCAATCAACCTGATTTCTTCCAACATTGACTGCGTTGCCATGCCACCAAAATACTCGCCCCCCTTATGTAAGTCCCGTACCAAGGGCAAGGAGGATGGATCGCTTGGTACTGATCGGAAGACTTTGATAAAAGATTGCCTTATTCGATATGATGAGAGTAATTCAAGCGGCCGATATTCTATCTCTAACCATGTGTATGTAATTACTGTCAGGTGCTTGCTTTCGTTTGGTTATGTTGCTCTCATGGCTTGGTCTTCCAAGTATTCTTCCTATCTTTGCTGTTGCTATTTGCTTTGGCTCCTACTTTGTATTTTCGTGCTCAGGGATACAGTACACGGTTCCGGGGCAACTTGTGAAATAGTGCCTCGGCGCCGAGGACTGTAGCCTCACTAGCATGAGGTGCCATATGGAAAACTATGGCACTGACCGAAATCTACATTCAATGGCGGCGGTCAATTTCAATTTCTGATTTTATGCCCAAGAGAAGTGCTCGCAGTGTAAATAAGCTCCTGCCGACTTCGAACCTTTGAAGATGTTCAAGTTCACGTCTGCAACCGCGTTACGAACATCATTTTGCATGGTAGTTGGCCCACAGACATAGACCCCAAGCGATTCACTTGCTTCCACTGCCCTTGCTGCTTCTTGGATAATCACAGGTAGCTGTGGTCGGCCTTCGCACTCTTCAGCTAGTGTGGAGATTTCTGCTTGATTCCCCTCACCACTGATTCTTTGTGGCAACGAGGACTGACCTTCCAAAACTGCCGGATGCTCCTGGACCTGTTTTGTAGAATTATTGTCTTTTATAGCGTCGCCGGTCAGATGCACCTGAATGTGAATGTTGTGTAGTGGATTTGTCACTGAGTGCTCTGCCAGGAGCTTGTTGACTGCTTGAACATACCAAGTTCGGCTGCTAATGTCTCTGGTCGCAAGTATCAGTCGCAGAGAGCTGGGCATAGACAGCTTATAAGCATGGCGGAGTTCGTCATCACTTGCTACTTTTTCGCTGTCAACTTCTTCAGCTCGGCCACATTCTTCGTCAGTTGGTGTAGAGCGGCATGCGATAAATTGCTCAATGAACGGCAAAGTCCAACCAACGCCCGAGCCTCCTGCAATGACAAGGAGATGGTCACTTTCGTAATATGACTGCATATTGATGCCTCCATACGGACCATCAATGAGCACAGGTACTGTGGCATTGGGGTTCTTCATGGCATATTCGTAAATCTGGGCTGTGAACCCGCCTTGATGACGAATATAGAAGACGAGCTCAGACTTTACGCCTGGCTGTCTTGATGGCAAAGAGCATATGGTGAAAGGATGGGCCGAGAGAGCTTGTAAGAGACCGAAGCTTGTAAAGCGGAGGAAGCAGTGCTGTCCAGGATGCCAACTGAAGTTCACTGGAATGGTGATGCGAGTAAATCCATTTTCTTCCACAGAGATCTGGGCCTTTTGTCGAAATCCATACTCAAAACAGGTCCGTAGCAAGGGGAAGATGAAGCAGGGAACGTATACGGCTGCCGTCGCGATGAAGTAGTGCCTATGAAGATGTCAGCGTGTGCCTTGGAAGATTTACGGGTAAGCGTTTGTACTGACCAAGAGGTGAGGGTATAATCGCAGTGCCAAAAGAATATCAGAACGAACATGGCGGCAGCGAAAAAGTGTGTCGCCTTGAAAAACTCGTAACCGAGTTTTCTATATGTTATGTTAATATGAGGTTTGATGTTTATGCACGATCTTTCACATACCGGATTACACTGTGAGATGCAAATGTAAGCCAAGCCTGGAAGATGATGGCGACAATGCCTGTCCAGTAGAAAAGGAGGCTCATCTCCACTTGCATCATCATATCATGAAATCTTACATGATAGACGATGAAAGGGAATGTGTGTAGTAACGCAAGAATGAAGAAGGCGTAGGATATCCATCGGTGGAATACCTGGAGCTTCTCATGGGAAACACCCGTGAGTAGTGTGATCCAATTCGTCTTCGTGGCGGTGGCGCTATAGAGGATCAGTATCTTTAGGAATACCTCAACCAATGCGTAGGCTTACAAGATAAATGGCATACATGCCAAAGCCATCCAACCCGATCTGGTTGCCAGTGGGGGTGAGCCACCAAAATCCAGACTTGGCCAGTAGTAGGGCTGGGGAATGAGGTCCATGCCTAAGGGTATAGCTATCAGCTCACGGCACGTTGGAGTTACAGCGTCGTCTGTAGCTTACAAAAGAAATAAATAGTCCCTGCAGCACCCAGTAATAGAACCCCTAAGGGTGCCGAATTCCATCGCAGTGCCTTGACGTGGAAGCCACGGTAAGATAAGTATCGGATCACAGCTATCAATTTCTGCCATAAACGAGGGCCGCGAAACCTGCGATAACCCAGTAGTTGCGATGATATGAAGTTGCCGATGATGAAAATTCCAAGTGAACACATGAAAAATGCTATTGTCGGCAGCGCGTAGACATAATCTGCAATGTACCTATTGAATAATCTCTTGGTCAGAAGATGCACGGGATACCGTCGACGATGCTTTGCGGTCGAAGGAAAGTTCTCACCAAAAATGCCATCGATGCATGTAGTACTCGCACTGCTCCGTTGTAAAGCCATCACAAGTGAACTCGCGGCTCCCTGTCAGTTGAATGGGGGAGGTCAGCCAGCTTGCAGCCATTTCGATGTGACGAAGATATTATACAGTGGAATTTTTTTTTGGCGTGTTGCAAAGTGACATGAGGGATATGAGGTAGAACTCTCAAATTAAGCGAGCGAAATTAAATGGAAACTTCTGCTACAAGTAATCCAGTTTCGCGCACTGTCAGTGATCAATGTATACGAAGTCCTTGGATGCTCCAACGGATGTGGCGGCCTGACCCGCCACGGAATCATCAGCCACTCAACCAATGCGGTGTAGCGCGTGCTTGGTGAGCAAATTTGAGCTTTTTTGATGACACATTCAATTGGTTGCTCGCCTATTGTTCCAACTGATATTGGCCATATGTACAGTATTCGAAACCAGATTTACCTCTATACTCATAAACTTTCATTCCCGAGCCCTAGCCTGCGTCACGCTAGTCTAGATTTAGGCGTTCCCCAGTAATCCTGTCAGACCGTATGGAAAGGTCATTTGGAACAATACCGTAAGTTATTTGTAATAAATTCTTTCGTGCAAAGAGACCAAACAAAGCGAGCAATCCTAACGATTCGGCAAGATCCCCCCAATTCTGCTCCTTTACGCTTGATCTTCCAGTCACGTGCAGCCTTCGCTTACCCTCGTTTGACATCTAATATAAGGCTGCATTTGCTTCCGTAGAGAACTGACCCTGATAAGCAAGAATGCTTTGCATTCCCATGGCTTCTATTGTCCACTGCAATTCATTCGCTGTCGTGGTCTCGATCAACTGGCCTGGGGCTGAAATGTCCGAAGACTAGTGGACCTCTCCGTTCCATTGTTCATATTCGCCGCTACAATATATCATTTACTTGAGGACCCTGGCTGGGACCCATTGGATAGTCTAAGATTCTCACACGTCAAAAAGATGAGCAAAGCTAGGTGGAACGTGCCTCTCTCTGCTGAGACGGCTTAGTACAGAGCTTGGGCAAGGACTCCGTCAAATTATCGGCACAAAATGTTTGAACATGAGGCCGTAGCTCTCAAGCCATTCGATCAATATCCAAATTTGGTCAAAATTTTGGAGTAAAAGTCTGCTATTGAAAATGGGCCCATGCGGATAAAGCCTGTTTGCAACCGGAAGCCTACTTAGACAGCTCAGCACATGAGAATGGCGTTAGCTTTGCTTGGCCTACTAGTCTTTGAAGAAAACCAACCCCGTTACCTGGCAGATCTGAAGAATGAAAGGAATAGAAAAAATATGGCGCGAGAAATGTGAGTCGTTCATTGCCGTGTCTACCAAGCGTCGGCAAGAGGCAAGACTAGTCCCAAAGAGACACCATTCAAACCTGGAGCTTTGTGATTGAACATCACAAGATTAGTTGAACACCTTTACTAGCGGCATTTAGAGTAGCGCAGTATTCAAGATTCAGAGAGTAATGATACTGAGTACTTACCCAAGTATCTAGTTTCTCACATTATTATGTAGACTACGCTGAAATTTGAAGGGGATTAAAGAATGATATGGTACCCACTGAGCTACCTTTTCTTACTTACATCATGGCTCTAGTAAAGCGTAATCTCATAAATTGACGTTGATTGAGCGGGGTGATGCAATGTTCTCAAATGCTTGAGATAACATTTGCTCCGAATCATAATTACTGCGCGACTTCAAATATGGTTCGTGTTGAACTAATTTTGCGGTGTTCAATTATCGCGCTCCTTAAGATGTTGTTTGTTCTTTTTTTTTTACCGGCTGGATGCAAACATCTTCACTGTCTTAATCTCGGATACATTCGAACACGATCACGCCTTTCGAGATCCCATGGACAACATGCACGACCGGGTTTATTCCGGATGGAGATAGGGTTCTTCTCTATACCGAGCTCTTTGGGATTGTCATCTCGGGATTTCACGGCTCACCCGAAACTGCGATTCTTTGAAATTTGAGAGCTTTCTATAGGCTGCCCCGCATCATCAACTACTCGCAAAGTGCCACATTCGCAATGAAAACTGTCAATAAAGATCGCTAGAGCACCTATGTTTCGAAGGTATCATTTGTCATACTTATAAGCACTACTCATCGATTAGATCTGTATATAAACCCAAAATAACTCACTTAAAGTCAGCCGCCACTGCGGATCGGGATTGGGCAGCGTAAAATGAGGTGACATCCGACAACACAGCCCGATACTAAGCTTTGCCATGCTTTGCGGGGCATCATGCGCGGGATAAACAAGAACAAGAAAATGAAATGGAGAGTATGGGCGGCAGCTAAGTGGGGATTACTTTTTCTTTTCCCTCTGCAGTCTTGCGGGCGGGGGAGAGTTGGGGTGTTCAATCCCATAACGATTCAAAATGAGTTATTGAAGTGGCGTAGGCAGGGTCAAAGGGGTCATAAACCCCACTAATTTATTTCCAATCCACAAGTCAGTCTGAGCGCATCGCCGTGGCTTTACATAATATATAAATAGCCCCTGATTCATATTCATGTGTTTAGGTGAATTTTCCTTTTATTCCATAGACCGCCCCGCATTCACTGGTAATATCACCAAAGCCATTCTTTGAATGTTTTTTCACGTTTTCTTTGCCTTGGGCGGGGTCTCCGCCGCTTATGCTCAATCTACTGCTAGCTCGCCCTTCTTAGCCCAGTGGCTTATCTTAAGTGACTACTCCATCTCTACTGTTGGAGGCGTATGTCGCGCAACATCTTTACTCTAGAGGGTTGATAACTAATGAAAATTGTCACAGGATGACACTCATACCACATACAATGTAAAGTGTGATACCGACGCCACTCGTTGCTCGCTTCCTGCGGCTGGTGTTACCGTTTTCACTGCCCCATCATCTGTCGGACTATATTATACTGCACTCTCTGAGACATTGTGAGCCATGATACTTAAAACTGCAGCAAGGTCCAATCTCGAGACATCATTAACCCCTCAATAGTAAATCATTAGTTGATTGTACCTATATCGACGCTCGTGCATCGGCAGTTTGCTTTGCTTTACAGGCTGCTCCCGGTGTGGCTGTTCAGAGCGGTACTTTTGTGACGGGCCTGAGTATAAGTACCACGACTGCCACCCTGCCCGCCGCTTCCGTTGAACTGGGCTTTAACACGGCTACTACAACAACTACCGTTATCCAGACGACCGAGGGGGTTGTGTCAGCAGCAGGAACTACTTCTCACAGCGAGACTGCGACAAAAACTGGCGCTGCGGCGAGTGCAACGAAGGCTAGCGGTGCGAGTGAGGTATTTGGGCATCGTAATTCTAACCTGGCTGTGGGCGCTGCAATGATTGGCCTATCTTTGTTATTGAGTACATTGATGTCTATGTTTTGAAAATAATCGAAGTCCCTACCTGGACCAATGCTTCTGGATTGGAGTAGGCCCAGCGCAGTCATGTCTTGGATCTCATTAGGTGTGATGGTAAGAATTAATATGGACTTGGCGGGTATGCCGACGTTGAATTGAATTATATATATCCTAAAACTTTAAGAATATGAAATAATAGGGTATACATGTAAACATTGAGTGTTTATGGTTCGCCTTTTTGACAAACTATTATTGATCACTCTCTTCGCCCTCGAGTATGTCATTGTTTCTCGAATCTGTGATACGCCACTATGCAGGGTTATTAGAGTAGCCAAATGTGGGCCAAGGCGGTCTTAATAGTCTTCACGGTATATTAGCAAGATTGAAAATTATCTGCACTGCAGAACAAAGGGCACACGTAATCGTAAATGGGATATAAACCATTATAAAAAGTCTCAGTTTGATGTGAAACCTAGTCTATAGACCCTGATCATGGGTATTTTTTGACTAATTTGGTGGTGTTCAACTAGTGAGCTGCCATAGGCTTTAGGCACGCGCTAGGTCATTAATCCGAGAAGAAAAGAGGTGGTAATCCTCCTCCTTGGGTTTTCGGCAGAAAAGAACAAGACAGAGCAAAAACACAGTCAATAACTGTGGTGGCCCTCAATCAAATCCTTCGCAGCAACTTTCCTGCATTCCTCCATCACCCTCAATTGCTCAGCAACCTCGCCTAGTCTGCTAATAACTTCCTTGTTTCCGCGCGTAAAAGTAAATATTACATAAGGGATCCCGACGTCGTCGCAGAACTCCTTGACATACTTCTGCGCCCGGCGCAGGTTATGTCTTGGGAGACGAGGGAACAAATGGTGCACAACCTGGAAATTGAGACCGCCATGTATAAAGTCCAACCAAGGCGGGCAATCGACGTCCATCGTCGTCCGCACCATCTTCTGAGCAAATGACTCGTGGAGACCCCCATCAGTACTCGACATGGCAAAGTGACTGAGCGTGAGTTGGACGTGCAACGGAGCGGTGACCATATGCGAGATGAACAGGAACACAATGCGGGACGACCACGTCGGGATCGAGAGATATAGCGTTCGGTAGCCGTACCAGTACCAGAAAAACACCTGGCCGGTCATTTCAAGGTAGCGATGCCACCATGCTGACCCTTTACGGGGCGCTTGCTTCGGATCTAGTAGGTATGACCATGCTAGGCGGTACAGGTTGAAGCGACCCATCAAAAGTATGGTATAGTAGAGGTAATGCTGGTGCTTGATAAACCACCGTGCTGCAGCGTCGAAAGGCATATCGCGGTCGTAGTAGGTCGAGCGTAGGGAGCCGAAGAATCGAGAAGAGATGGCGAAAAATGGCATATGCTGAATATCCGGATCGTGCTCGGGCGAGTTGGTTGCTATATGATGCACATTATGATTCCGTTTCCACCAACCGACTGAAAGACCACCAATGAAATCTGCAACGAAAATTCCGATGCAGCTGTCCGTGTGGAAACCGTGTGTTATGCTTAGATGACCGGCGTCGTGGACGAGGAATGAAAGCAGGTGCCAAAGTAAGCCGAGAAAAAGGCCGGAAAGAGCGTAATAAGAATAGTGAAGACATGTCAAGAAAAAAACAAAAAGAGTCGAGTATCGGATGAGCTCGACAGCGTAGGAGCTATATGGGCACTGGTAGAGTCCTTCGGATCGCAATCTCTCATTGAGCTGGCGGTACTTTGAGATGACCTCGTCTTGTGACATTTGATCAAGACGAGGATATTTTGTAAGGTCTGATGATATCGCGTGGGCTGTTGATGCTTCGGTAGAAACAAATTGCTCCGGCTCCGGTGCTGATGATGAAGCTCGAGAAATAGGCGTATCATTGCCTATGCGCCTCAGACGAACTTCGTCTCCTGCCTCTTCAGTATCGAAGACTGGTGAAGGTGGTGTCGATTGTCCAGATGAGCTGACATCTTCGGCTTCGTCGTCCGTCGATACCAGCGCTCTGAATATTCCTCCCTGTATCGGAGGCAAGAAATTATCCCATCTTCCATGTACTCTTCCTATCACATACTTCTGCATATGTGCCTGTGCGTCCTCTGAGTGCAATGCTGTGATTTCGTCCGTCCCATCCCGACCGACCATGTGCAATATTGATTTATCGCCACCTGGGTGATATGGTATCCACGCGTCGGCCTTCAGTACTTGGCCTCCAAATATGATTATCTTTCGCCCATCTGCTATCAATCCTTCGATTTCCCTCCGAGACCACACTCGCTTTGTACGTGACATGGCCCGAGCAATAGCCCGATGTTGGGTGCAGTGGAGCAGCTGGAGATTAACTTCATACCCCGGACAGTTGATGATGAATGCTCGGCATCGGAGGGAAAGGGAATGAGGTGCTCGCACGTGTCATATGCTGTTTATTTGTTTGGTTCCTCGCCATCAGAGGTGTCAACCTTGGAACAGTCCCGGAGATCAGGCAACCAAGTCACGTGCAGGGCCAAACGCCCCGGATCACTCTGTGTTTCAAGGGGGATCGAATATTGCACTGAAGTAAGAAAATTGAAATCAGAGACCAGAAAACACCAATCAGACAAACGGAAAAAATTGGCACTAACGGGAAGTGCGTGGAAGGACGTAACTAATCATCATGAAAATAGGCTCCACTGTATCCAATTGACCAGGGCCGGGCCGCAACTTCCGTAGTTTTCCCATTTTCTCGATCACCAATGATCGACTAGATAACGACGAGACAAAACAACATTTTGACCAATGATCTCACCTGGGTAGTATTTCAGATGAACACGTACCCAGTGTAGTGGGGAGAACTAAACAATATAAGCGCTTGCGCTTAGGGATAAGCGACTCAGACTATCTTTCATACTACGAGCCACCTCTAGGTCTCCTTTCATGTTTCTCACTGCCTTCAGAGGACGACGAAATCAAATTCTGGCGCCTGGTTCGCAGATAAGTACCCTTGCCAATGAGCGTTTCCCTCTTTGATTAAGTAGGTGTTCAATGTCACAAAGCCTATGAGCAACTAAGACTGGGCCGCGCGTTCTCGGGCGCTAGCTGTGGGTCAGGTAGCTCCCCCCTTACTACTTAGCTATCTAACATTTGTTCTTTATGCTATTAAAGGTTTGCTCCCAGGATCTAATTGAGTTTTATTGATGGTTGAGTCGAGAAATATATATTTAATGGTTGAAAGGAGAAATTATGTTGTAATCTATGGTAACCTTGAAAAAAAAGTATTGATCCAAATCGCACTTAACATTGAACTTGAATTGAAGGTTTGATGTGTTCATATAATGTAGTCGATATGTGTGGTTGCTGAGACACGAATGTTTTAGAAATCATGTTTACTATGTACCTCAAGGTGTCCGACCTGACCGGGTGTCCGGCTCGCTTGTGAAATACATGATTTAATCCAGCTTTATTAAGCCCATGGGACGGTGGTGCTGCGAATCCCGACCATGAGGAAGTGGTTCAATGTTACGAAACGAACCAACGCTAGGTAGCAATCTCGGGTTCTGCTAGAAACCAGAAAAAGAAAAGAGATCATTGATCTTGGTTGGTATCAGCCGAGACTTAAGCACATATAAGTCTAAGCTAATAGCCGTATCGAAGTGGATTCAGTGAAGCCTTCGACATCTAGACAAGGGGGTTGATAGCCTCTCTTCGCTCTGCTATAGCTAAGATTTGTGGCGAGAGTGGGAATTTAGATTAGGTCAGTGCTGAGTGTCGACGGGTGAGGTGTCAGCCAGGCATCAAGGATCGCCTGTTTAGGAAGTTTGCTTGCCGCCTAGTCTTAGCTATCAGATTTGAATATCCACACGTGCCTCCATGCTCCTAAGCAGTTCTCATATATATAGACCCCTGATACCGGCTAGGCATGCCTTCAAAACAATAGATGGTTAGAGAACATCGCTTAGAAATACCGTCCTGCCCATGATCTACGGGTGAGTTCCTACGCCTTGGCTTTGAAGTAAATTCGTGAATCGTCTCACTCTTTATACCCCTTCCCTAACTCAATTAGCCTCCTGTGCTTCCTGTCATAGAACAACCTTGGAAGCTTTTTTGGGTTAGACGATCAAGTAGGCGGTCTCGCCTATATTAAGTTACATACGTTTGATGACTAGCATCAGTCCCGGTTTTCTGAGCAACGCATTCTACATTAAGAGACGAAGGGAGCTTTGAATACTTCACAGGGTGTTGATTATTCGAATAATTTACTGCATATCGCTGAGTACCTGTCCTCGAGAGGGTGGTGTTAACATTATTAATGCGTAGATATTTTGATAAAGCTATTATGCCCTTTGTTGAACTAAGACTACGATAGACCCATTTTATAAGCTAGACGTATTAGCGTAGCGTGAACACGCGGCCCTGGGCACTAATTATTGACTTATCTACGTTGGATGACTAGCGTCAATCCCGATCCTTCGAGCGAAACGTTTTGCTTATGAAGAGCCAAAGAGAGATTTGAATACTTTACGAGATGATAAGTTGTTGAATAATTAGTTCCACAACGCTAAGTACCCGTGCTCGAGCGAGTGGTGTAAAAGCTATTAATGCGTAGATATCTACTTAACGCCAATCACGCCCTTCGTTGTACTGAGGCTACCGTAGACCCACTTTATAAGCCAGTGGCGGGACCCACTTGGTTTATCTCGCTTCATTTTCACAGAAATCGCCGTAGCGAACATCGTTCTCGGATCCCGAGCTCAAAATCGAAGAGGCCACCAATCGGCGCATGTAGCGCTAAAATATTCTCCGCATCCGAGGCGAGTTTACTAAAATGTAGACCATGCATACCCGCATTTTACACTTTGCCATTCCCTCCCTTTGGACTTAAGCCATTCCAGATACTACGCAAGTTCAACAATCCAAAGGTCAACTCGCGATTGTCATAATGGCCAGACGCTCTTTTCTCGAGTCGTAAGTATTTAATAATGAGAACTATCAAGCGTCAAAGCTAAGGAGGGTTCCAGAATCATTATCATTGCCAATTTCCTCATATTTAATAAGGAATTCTTCCTTAGCTGCACCTTTGCATGGATAGTGGCATTTCTTATTCCTCAGACACGCCAAGTCCTTTTGACCATTCTACTCAGAGTATATCGCTACTTTCGGTCACGCCCGATTCAGTTTGTAGTAATATTCTACTGCTTCGTGCTTTCGTCGACCTTTCTTCTTTTACACTTGGACGTCGTCTCTGCGCCTCCTATTGTTGAAGTCGTTTACGTTAAGCTCAATTCAAAAAATGGAACAAAAACTCGCATCACTCCCCAGGAGTACAGCAGTATATCGTCACAACAGATCTCACAACAGATCAAAGCAAGTGGATTGTCAAGTTCCGAATGGGCTAAAGCTCAAGCTGAAGAGATCTCTGCATACTATTCGGCAAATGATCACCGCCAGGTGCATCATATTTCGGAGCATCCTGACACATCTGCGACTTCTACAGCCAGGGTGGAATTTCTGTTTTGAGGGCGTTTCATATCATTCAAAGCCATCATAATGGTCTGCAAAGTCGAAACGGGCTCTCATGCCCAAGTTCGGGTATGCTTACCAGCACAAGTGGCGTTAGGTTTACCTGCACCTCAGATTGTCGCAAAATTTTGAATAAAGTGGGTTCAGCTGCGAATAACTATCACTTTAGCTACTTAAAGGTTTGATTTGAAAGCCTACAGTCCTTTAACCTAGATGAATGAAATTGAAAGTCCAGAGAGCTGAACCATCTTATTTCGTAAAGCCCAGAACGTAAGGAAGTAGAATTGGAAGAAGTGGGGATGTGGTTACTTAACAAATGTTAGGATTGCTCACTTTTTTTGGTCTCTTATCTGAAAGATTCTATGATATTCGGAGGCGAATCAAGGTATTACTACAGCCTCGTGACCCATCCATCAATACCATGGTGTTTAATATAGTCTGACGGGGGATTACTGGGGAGTGACTCAAGTTAAAGTAGCGCGATTTAAGCTAGGGTTTGGGTATAAAAATCTGTGGGTATAGGAATGAATCTGGTTTGAATACTACTGTTAGCTATCTACGCATGACTTTGATGTCCTAGGAACGGTAATAATTGAATAGTATTCAAGAAGAAACTCCCCCTATCTCGTACTACTCAAGTGCTAGTCATCTACCTATATCTCCAAGCTTATTGACTCATCAAGCAGGCCACATGTTAAGTTCAAAAGATACCTGAATGAGGCATAGCATAAGCTAGACTGTCGTAAGCGAGCCTCCGTCTCCACGAAAGTCCGATAGCAGAAAATATTCTGACGGATGTGTCAACCGATCTAAACACATTAGCGTGACCAGCAACTGTATAATTTAGCCCAATTCTCATCAGAGCTAGTGATTTATCCTCTCTACCCTCGAAATTAGCAAACTCGACGTTAGAACGTTCAAACGCGATCTTAACACCTGTATCGCTTGCCGATGTGAGAAGTTCGATTGGCAGGTCAGCTGAATGGAAGTTGCTTTTGTCCTATTTCATTTGCAAAACCGCAACTTCAATAAGAAGCAAGTGGCCCACAAATGCGGAGCGGGCCATTTAAAGGCCGATTGGTACCTGGTACAGGATCAACTCTAAAGACTTTCTGATACTGATAGTCTTACGTAACGCATGTGACCTATGGCGTCTATTGCGCAACTTAATCCTTGCCCATTTGACACCCACTTGACTTGTTCGCATATTTACTAACCTCCTAGACACAGGTAGGCTCACTTCCTCATAATTCTGTGTAGCCAAGAATTCCTTCACGGAATAGTCTAGTACATACGACCATAGGGTGTGGAGAACAGGGCTTCCTGTCCGCTCAGCCGTACTTAAGCCACACGCCGGTTAGTTAGTAGTATGGTGGGTGACCACATGCGAATCCTGACTGTTGTATGTTTTTTTCTTTTTGATCTTGTGTGAAGAGATGGTATGAACCTTCTGTTGGCTGGGTGAGAGCGGCTAGGAACAAGGTAAGGATTCTCACCCATGTTGACCCGCCCCCCAACCTTTACTTCAGTCCGGGCCAAAGTTATGCCACTCGGGCGTACACACGGTCAGCTATTTTGATTCGATCACTTTTTGGCTACTAAAAATAAATGCAAGGGCTTGACCAAGAGTTTGACGACTTGGATGCTCGATTGAGGTTGCCAATGGCCTTCTGTTGCTCGCTTTCAACTAACCAAGATGACTTGAACGACAGACTCATTACAGACCACTTTTTTCGCTTTTAGAGAGACGTTGGAGGGCTTACAGATTTTGCGATGCAGTTGTATAGAAGTTTTTTTTCATGTCAATTTTTATAAGGGGTACACCTTAACGGAATTTTATAGAGTCAGCGGTTAGCACCGAGAGAAGATCTCGAGCAATGATCGCAAGTGCTGGAGATATCCACCCCCAAGTGGTACTACTCCATGGATACAGTCAAAAAAGGCAGACCTGATAGGTGTTTCTGGAAATACTATTTGACTGTGGTGCGGAAGTTTCTTGGCTAGCCAAATTTCAATTCCACAGTGCGCCCATTCAAAATTGTATATAAGACGTAGACCTTTGCATTTATTGAAGAAGTACATACATTTTGATAGACAAAGAACGACTAATACTATATTTCTCATACTTCTGGCTTACAGACATTGCGAATAGTATGCATTTTGGGCCTGGCAGGTATATGGGCTGGCACATGTCGTCGCCCCTGTCCAGCCAGTACCGCCACACTGCGCCCAATGAGATGCTGTTGCAGTAGTAGTAGAACCTGTGCTGGTGCTGGTCGACGTGGTGGTGGCTTTAGTGGTGGTCGTAGCTGCTGTGGTGGTTGTCGATGTAGAGTGCGTGGTTGTGGAAGTGGTTGTAGAACCGCCAGAACTTCCCGAAGTGGAAGGAAAGTAGGCAGACAAGATATTCAGATAGTAAGTATACGCAGTCCCCGAGGGCGGCTCCATCGAAAAAATATAAGTCCCCCACCATGGCCCTGCAGCCCACCAGGATGCTCCGAGCCAGACGTCGCTGTTCTCTTGCAAGTAGCTCAGCATTCCAGTCACAGCGCTCTGACAGACTGAGTTAGCACCACCGGCAAACTCGCCCAGAAAACCAAGTTTCCCATTGCTTTGCAGCCATTCTGTCGCTGCCTCTACACGCTCCTGGCCGATGGTCGTACTGACACATGTGTCGGATGTGCCAGACCCACCCGAGTCGAGATACTGGTGCATCTCGTAGACGATTTTGTCATTGGGGTCCGTTAGATTGACCAGATTGCTATTGACCGATGTCCACGTCCAGGCGCCACTCCACGAATTTCCTTCTACGAAGATATACTGCGAGGTGGCTCCAGCAGCCCGGATTGCGTTAATAGCCGCCTGGTTGAGATCAAGCACCAGTGTTTGGTCCTCCGTGTTGAATTCGTTGTCTGCAGATGTCAGTAAGAAGAGGAAGGGACCCAGTCGAAGCTGTCGCTTACTCGTGTCAAATATGACCTTGTCATTCGATGCAAATTGCGTTGCCACAGTCGTCCAAAATGCAGCAAAGTCACTCGTGGAGGTGATGATGTTGCCATAGCTAAATCACTAGTGAGTGAACTTTTCAGTAAGGAAGCGGAACTATCGACTCACTATCGCCCAAAGTTGTGTGGATCAACGATAGCATACGCGCCGGCAGACGTGATGTACTCCACCGTCTAGAAATCAATAAGCACGGGTGGTATCCTAGACAAGGACAACTTACACTCTTCAGATCTTGTAGGTATGTCTCATTTGGGGTCGAAGTCAATGTATTGGGAACCAATCGCTCCATCAAGAATGGCACCCGGAAGATGTTCATACCCGCGTTGCGTAGGGTTTGAATGGCCGAAGTGTCTGGCCAAATGTAGTCTGTTCCCAGTACCCCCGGAATATTTCCACTGCCAAACTCCGCTCCGGACTCACTTGCGCCAAACCCTATCGAGACTGGTCAGTTTCGGCACATCTTTAGTGGCTTCTACACATACAAACAAAGGACGAGGCCCGCTTGGAGTGGCCTTGGGGCACCGCGAGAGCCAGGGCGGCGCTGGCCGCGAGCAGCAGAGTGTATCTCATGGTTTATAATCTTGATAATATTGAATTTGGATGCCTGACAGCTTGGAATTATTGATTTCCTGGGAAGGGTCGTACTAGAGCAACTTTATAAAAGCACGACCCCAAGCTTTCAGGACTGTCGACCCTATCCCTTTCCTCCGCGGTGATGCAGCCGTGTCAGCCCTTTTCCACAGGAGAAAATTCTTCAGCATCTACAGTACTGTATAATATCATATTCGGAATAGGTTTCTCGGACCGTCGACCGAGTGTGACTGACTTCTTGTGAAACCACTTTCACGAGATGAATTACTGGCTAGGACAGGATAGGTACTACGGATTGACGATGACTAGATTGGACACGGCATTTGGCACGTCACAGGAACATCTGGGGCAAGGTTAGACATCAGAGATGAGCAGGAGAGCATGCAAGACGTTGCTAGCGCATGGAAAGTAAGTTTAAATGCGGTGAAGGATAATATGGAGAAATTCCCGGACCGAAACAGGCAATGAAGCTCTACTGGAAACTCCTCGGCGAACTTGTCTTGACAGCCAGGTTTTCTCGGTCTGTTCCAAGATTTGCGGGGCTCCCATTCCACCCCGCACCCCTTATTCAGGGGCGAGAGGTGGGTCAGAAATAAAGTTATTGGCATCTTCATCAGGCGAGTCTCCTCAGTGTGGCAGGGTCAGAAGGAGTTTGCCGGTGGATCTTGGTAGACCCTTAGCGGTACAGGAGATTGGCCGTCAAGTGTTCGCAACGACTGAGTTATGGTTCTTGTTGCTGGCATTTGAGATTTGGCCTGACGAAACCGAACGTCATTCTGCAACCCCACAAAATTAGTTTCACCCTTGAAATTAGTGTTATGCCAAGGTGGGGCGCTGACAGCGCTCGGAGATGAAACACAGTAGAAGGGCTCTTCAGTGGCGTACGTAGTCGGAGCGCCCTCCGCATGGTAGCTCCCGCATGTTGCAGAAATGTGACGGACTTTACTGCCAACGGATATGAATAATAGACCAGTTGTCGCATCTTGATTGGTCAGTCTAGAACAATAGAGTCCGTGAACGAAACGCGGATGCCAACACCTTCACGTGTTGGCCTCCCTCTCCCTCTTCCTTTTTCTCTAGATACGATCTCTAGCGCACTTTGCACCAACAGTACCTGCTTTTCCGCGCCCCCACTCCCTTCCTGCCTGGTGGGTAAACACATTTTGTCTCGATCCTATATTGTCACTTGAAATATCAAGGGCCTCATGGAATGGCATACGCTAAGCTCTTCCTAGGACAGCAGGCAAAACAATGTGGATTGTAATCAGGGCTTGTTTCATTGAAGCGGAAGCCACCAAAGAATGCTCTCCTCGCCGTGCGGGCCCTTGTAATGGGTAGGGCTATCGTCACTACGTGAACAGCCTTGGTGGCACTCCGGAGCCCAAAAGACATAAGTTTTGTTTTCAGATCCTTTACCGAAGCTTTCGCTTGACGAGATGAGAGTCATACAACCCCAGAGGATTGGGTAGATCGATCAACTGCGAAGTGATCACTCCAGGTGCGATGCATTACATCCAGGGGATTGACAGCCAATCAGGGATTGCTGGTACCACTGAAAAAGCAGGTCGTGACCGATTATGAAAATTTGGGAACATGATTGTATGCGAACTTCCGGCAGACATGCGAAAGACGGGAAAGGACATTCAGAGCTTCAAGAAAGAGGAGTGCTGATTGCATCGCAGAGATTGAAGCTGCTACCTACTGAGAAATACAAACCTATCACCCGAAATTGCCCATCTGAATGGACACCTGTGGTGAACGAAACCTTTCAATGATCCATGAGCAAAACCTCCAGTGAAGATGGCATCTTGTTCCCATGAGAGAATTCTTTTTCTTGCCTCCTGCCTTCATAATGCGTATCTTGCCTAGAATGTTGTTGATTTTCATGATAATTTCCCAATCAGGGCTCGGTAACTCTATACCAGACACGTCTCTGTATGATTTGCTTCAAGAAGCTCGTCAATACTCTTCCCCAAGAGCCTGGCCTGCTTCCGAAGCTCTCTGAACCGAATCCGCCAAATTATGTGGCTGACATAGATGCCGAGCTCAACAAGCACTCTGTCCAGCTGTATTCAGCACATTATCTTCGTAGCCAAGAGTTATTGGAAGCTGGACTCACACAAAGATGTACATAACGCCACCGAGAATATCAAATGATCCTTGTGCGGCTAACATGGGTTAGTCATGGCTGTCCCTAAGAGGTTGAAACAAGGGACGGTGCCTCAAACCTAACGCGAATAAGGAAAATAGTCCTCCCAGTGTATCGATACTCAGAAAAACCCAGTCTAGTCGACAAATCAGCCCAGCTATCTTTTTAATGCAGTTTGTAAGGCCTACTGAATCCAACGACCCTGCCTTTTCTCTTCCACAACTCAGGGTAGACCGGTAACCAACTACCACCGAGCAGTATAGTTGCGACAATGCCAACCAAAAGATCCGGCCAAGTGACTCCTTTACTGTAGGGGATCTAATTCTGTCAGCAGCTACTTGAGGGGGAGACTAAGCTAACAGAAGTGATGAATACCCTCAGTGTAAGGATCAGCATTGCTTCGATGCCCCCAAGCAAGACAAGAAGGCCACAACAGCATAGAGTTGAACTGACTCGACCGTAACCACTGCCATACAATCTTTAGAAACTCAAGTCTCCCCATTTCGAACACAAACATTGACTTACTGTCCATAGTGTAAGATCTGGGCCCAAACAATTGTCGAAAAGAACCCAAATATTTGTGGCTGCACCTGTAGGGGAATATTTACATCCTTGACCAGTAATGTCAGTCCTCAATATACCAGCAACGAAATGACTTGGTCTACCTGCAAGATTAAATATGCTCCCATTGGGACCGCACCTAGTAAGTAAAATGGTCAGCAAATAGTGGTCATCATCCAATGTTGATGAGATACGCATGCAAACATACATACTGCCCAGAGAAACCCCAATGCCAACGGCAACCCTTCTGTCTTCTTCCTTCTCCAATTGTGCCATATCTGGGGAACCAGCTGTATGCACCAGCATACAGTGCCAATAGTCCCCAAGACATTAGATGCAACCGTGACTTTATCTTCATTAGACATTATGATTTGCACTGGAACTATGAGAGCAGTGATATGAACATTTGTAAAAGAAGTAAGTGCAGTCCCCGCATGTCTTATTTAACTAGCTACGAAAAACGCATTTCACCCTGGTCGAAGAACTTTGATAGATAATATCAATGTTGGCGACTTTTCGGACTACAAGATGCCCGTAGCGTGGGGTTGGAGCTTGACTATAGTGGGGAAGTGGGTCTGGTGGTTACCCAAAGAAGGCAGTTCGGGTGAGATGAACATCTAGATTCTTGCAACTTTGCACGAGAGATACCAGTACAGGAATCTCTATGGCTCCTAGGTCCTCCTTGATTTCGCGCTAGAAAATGAAAGCCAGCTACATTATTATTTCTATTTGAGATCCCAATATCATGTGTTCGTTCCTCTATCTGCTTCGGAATTGTGTTGGTGGCCTCAGGTACCCACTTTGTCGGCCAATAGAATGTCCTGATATGGACAGAACGGCGGCACATCGCGACAACCACAGCTGAAAAATGTTTGCACTGTTTGGTGTAGATGATGGTCTTGTTGAGCAAAACAAACAAAGCAGATAAACAAACAGCACTGCAAGGGTCAGATGGACTTCTCGCTCTCGCTCCCTCTGGATCTTCACATATCTCAATACTAACCGCATTTCGACCTCCTGTTTTAGAGTGGCGAGTTCCCTGCTTTTACTTTTACTTTTGGGGATCTACAATTGTGGCGTGCATATGATAAAAATGATTTGAGATTTAATGTCCAAAGAAAGTCAATTGATTGGCCATAAAAAATTAATATCATCCACATCACATGTACTCTGCGTTGTATGCGTATCAGCCCTTATCTGCTGCCCGAGTTTTCTTGTATGAATCGCAGTTCATGTACGGAGTACTATTATTGGAAGATAGAGAGTCAACTCTAATCAGAGCTGGGCTTGATTGGTCAAGACTTGGGTTCTGTGTGAAAAGTTTATCCACAGTGTGGCACAGTTCCTGGCTTCCTGTCAACTCAGGGGGATCAACTCAGCACTAACCACCTTGAGGAGGTGGATACGCGCGACTTTGATCGCTTAGTCATTTCAGGGTTAACCCGTGGACCCCGTGGACCCTGGGTTTCGCCGATAAACACGGACACAATTAATTAACCCGGTGTTTCTTGATCTGTTGATGAATATTGGAAGCCTGCGAGTCTTTATAGCTGGTCCAATACATGCTAGATTACACAAGGTTGACAAACAACAATAGCCAAGACATGCCCAGCTTCTAATCAAATCTGGTTGTACCTATCATGACCAAGACCAAGACCGAGACCTATCCATTACACTAAATTAGCTCCCCACGTCGATCCATTACTGTTTCCCAGTTTTCCTACTGGTCGCAATCATGAGAGATTCCCCTTAAATGTATGCGGGAGCCTGCAACCCCTAAAAATCAAATCAAAGCAATCTTTTCCTTCCTTTAACCACTCCTTCACTCATTAGGGGTTAAGGAATTAAACAAGCGATGTGGATTCGACTGGGCTAATTCTACCCCCGAATTTTCCATTCGCTCTTTGCCATCATGGCGTCCTCTCCTTTCAACGTTCTTTTCGCTCTTTTTACAATTTTAGGAATCACAGCTGTCGCATCCGCCACCGACTGTAATCCCCTTGAAAACACAACATGTCCCGCCGATAACGCCCTCAGTACCGAGCACACATGGTGGCTCAACTCCACCCTCGACAGCGAGCTATGGAATATGGAAACCGGCACTGCCGACTACACCAGTACCGGCGCCGACTTTTCCATCAAAACTGAGAATGCATCCACTCTTTTAGTCTCGAATTTCTATATTTTCTTCGGCGTCATGGAGACGCATGTCAAAATGTCTCCGGGGAGGGGTATCATCAGCAGCGTGATCCTGCAGTCGGATGATGAGGATGAGATTGATTGGGAGTGGGTTGGATATAATACGAGCTCGGTGCAATCGAATTTCTTCGGGAAGGGCAACACGACTACGAGCGACCGCGGAGCCTTTCATAATGTCGCCAATGCCGATACCGAGTACCACAATTACACCTCATACTGGGATAAGGATCGGCTGGAGTGGTGGATTGATGGCGAAATCGTGAGAACGGTCAACTACTCCGAGCCGACGACGTTGTATGGAAAGAATTATCCACAAACACCCTGCCGAGTTAAGGCTAGTATCTGGCCAGTCGGCCTTCCGAGTGCATCCGTTGGCAATATCGAATGGGGTGGTGGACTTGTGAATTGGGACGATCTTCCTTTCACCATGAGTATACAACGGATCCGCGTGAAGGATTTCTCCTCTGGAAAGGAGTATGAGTACGAGGGTACCAGCGGCTCATATGACAGCATCAAGATCGTCGAGTAAGTTTTCGAAGAATTACTCAGAGCGGTTCCCTGATCTAACAAAATGCAGTGGAAACTCAACCGCAAAGGCAGAGATCGAGAAGACACCAGCTAAAACCTTAGCCGAAAAATGGAACGACCTAGGAGAAGGCGCCCATATCGGTGTTTACTGTGGTGCAGCTGCCGCTGGTGGACTCTTGGTCGCCCTCTTCTCCTGGTGGTGTATAAGGCAGCGGCAACAGGGTCGACTGGCTCGGGCACTCAACGATGGAAACCATGGCGAGGAGCTCGCATCCATGGAGAAATCTCAAAACCAGTGGGCTCAGTCAAGATGGGGTCGACAGAGTTATCAACCGGTGCCCTAGTACTTTCAACGAAAGTGGCATCATCAATGACGAAACCCGACTTCATGTTACTGTATACTATAGCATATTGGCATATCTCTTTTGACTGATTATATTTAGATTTTTTTTTCGATTTAACTTATATCCCGCCTGGCCGTTTGTACTTTTCCACGTTCAAATTGTAATTGAGCGAGCGAAATTTATCGTGGTAGAACATGCGTTACCAATGAAATAGCAATTGTGGATAATTGTGGTTCTGCCTATACATATTCCTTGAGCCGTGTTTCCCCTGGTCAAGCTCAGCAAGCCATAGTATTGTCCCTACCATAGCCATGGTTTACGATTTTGTAGAGGTTTCGAAATCAGTATGTAGATTAGGCGAGCATCTAGGCTACCTAAAGAGGACTAGTGTAAATAAACAGAAGGTGGTAATAAGCTAATATCTATACCTTATTCTTAGTCTTAAGCATAGCCAAAAGCTGATTTTGAGCTATCTATTTTAGAAACGTATCATATACCCTAACTACCCTAAAAAGTACTTAGCTCTATAGATTTAGTCTTAAATCTCCTAGATTAGTAGTAGTAGGTACTAGTCTTTCTTCGTGATTAAATTTAGCTATCTATAGTCTATATATAGTTATAGACTTCTATCTTTCTTTAGTATAAATAGGATTAGGTATCCTATTAATAATATTAAGTATCTAATATAACCTTTCTCTAGGTTCGTTTTAATATATTCCTTTAGTACCTAAGACTCCTTCTTAGATAACTAGTAGATCTTCTAATAGATTAGTTCTTTATTCTTTATAAGATTAATCTTATAGTTATAAGGTCTATACTCTAGTAGCTAGCCTATAGATAGTAGTATAAATATATCCTAGAACTTATAGTACTCCTCTAATAGTTCTAGTACTCCTTCTCCTATTATATAGAAGGCTATTAATTCTTAATATATTATAATATATTCCTTAAGCTTATTATTTAATATATTTAGTCTCTATTCTAGGTTCCTAATAATACTTATATCTATAAGCTATTAGTCTATTATCTTTAGTTAAGATATATTTACTCTTATTAATATATCCTTAGGATTACTTATTCTCTTACTAAGGTTCTATATAAATTCTTTAGTTTTATCTATCTATTATCTCTTTATCTATCTATAATTATAGCTATTAAACTATATTATTCTAGTATCTTATTTAATAGTAAGATTATAATATTATAACTATAATATTCCTAGGACTATATTATATCCTCTAATTAATATAATATTAAAACTAATATCCTTAAAATAGTTTCTAATAATTATTAGTTAGGGTTTTATTTTATATATTATTATTAATCTAAGGGATTTTTTATTTAATCTAATAGTAGATATAGTTATTTATTTCTTATTTTATATAATTTATAGCTTCTAAATATATCTTAGGTCTATAAAGTTTCTATATACTCCTAAGTTAATTAGTACTTTAACTATCTTAAATAGGATATTTACTTTTACTTTTAGATATACTCCCTATTAGATTACTATAAGATATTACCTATTACTATATATTACTATATTATCTTTAGCGCTAAGGCTTTATATAAGTTCCTTAAGGAGATTATCCTAAAGTATAACTTTATATTTCTATTTCTTAGGAGATTTATTAAGTATATTTTAACTTATAACTTCTAGGGTTCTATATTTTATATTCTATAATCTTATTAATCCTAGGATTATAGTTATAGGTCTTAGATTATAATATTCTATATCTTAGGGCTAATTAGTTCTTAGGACTTAGATTATAGATTCCCCTTAATTATATATTCTAGTCTCTATATAAGGAATAAAAGGGCTAGGTAAGAAGATAGTAAAAGAGAACTAAAAGGAATATAAAATAATACTAATATAATATAATAATAGTAAAGTCTTTATATTACCTAGTAGAATCCTACTAGATTCTCCTAAGTACTATCTAGTTAGAACCTAATAGTTCTCCTTAAATAGTATATAATCCTACTTAAATTATATCTAGTAGTATATCTAAAAATATATAATCTACTATAGTTATATAAGATTAATAAGGTTCCCTCTTATAATAATCTAATCTAATCTAAGAAAAACCCTTATTTTATAAAATTATAAGAAGATAAGTCTAAATATATCTATTTAGACCTAAACTAGACTATATAAATAAAAAAGGGGTTAAAATAAAAGGATTATATCCTTAGAAAGTACTAATATACTCCTAAGTAACTAAAAAATATTAGAAATTCCCTTTTAAAATCTATCTAAGATAAGTAATAATCTACCTATAGATATAAAATAGTATAAGGCCTAGGATTATTCTTAAATAACCCTAAATATATCTATTCTATTAGTACTCTAAGATTAATAGAAATAATCTTATTTAGTTATAAATAATCTATTCTCTCTAGAAATTATTATAGCTCTAGTATTACTTAATATATAGACTAGGACCTTATTATATAATATATAGTTCTATTTAGCTAATCTTAATATCTATATATTAGCTATTCTTTATATAGTAAATCTTATAGCTATAGCCCTTAGAATAAACCTATCTTTATTAGTTAAGACCTAGATAAGTACTATTAGCTATAAAAGTAGTTAATATTTTATAAATAAAGCCCTCTTAAAGGATATCTACCTAATTAATAAGTATAGTAGAAAGATTTACTAGTTAGTAGCCTAGTAGTTCTTACTTAACTATAAATAGTATTTTAAGGAAATTAGCTTATATATAAGATAATAGCTAGATAAGAAAGCGAAGATTATCTTTATAAGTAGAAAGCTTATAGATTAAGCTAGAAATACCTAAAAGGCTTTTAAGTAGAAAGTTAGTAGCTATTATACTAACCCTATTAAGACTTTTATTAACTTTAAAGCCTAGATTAAATAGGAATTCTTAGAATATCTTAGATCTAAAAAGCGCTAAGATTACTTTAATTCTCTTTAATAAAGTATAAGAATAGTCTAAGTATATACTATAGAGCTTTAATAAATAATAATAGATACTAGGTTTAATATCCTAAAAGTAATCCTAATCTAGTATCTTTAGAAAGAAGTAAATATAGTCTTATAATAGTATTAGATAAAGATAAATATATAAGCCCTTATCTTTATAGAAGCTAAGAAATATCTTATTAAGTTTAAATATAGATAAATACTCTTAAATTATATTAATTAATATATAGGAGAATTAGATCTAGATACTATAGATCTATCTATTTTCTTTATAGTTATAAATAAGACTAAAAGAAATAATAGGGTTTATTTTAATTATAGGAAACTAGAATACTTTAAGAGGGATTACTAAGAAAAAAGAAAGAAGCCCTTTTACTAAAATTACTTAAGAAATAGATTTAATTAATAAAAGCCCTTATTAACTATATAAAATAGGCTTTATATATATCTAATCTAGAAGATATTAACCCCCTTAAATTAGTATAATCTAGTAATATAGAACTAGATACCCTATTAGATATTATTATAGACTAGTCTCTATAGATTTAAGTCTCCTTAAATATAATAAATAACCCTTTACTATATTTTAACTATATATTTAGAATAAAGGAGTTAAGAGTTACTATTTAAGCTATAATTAATAGTAATATATTATATTCCTTTATTTCCTTTTATATATTAAAAGGATTAGGGATAGATATATCTATCTATATCTAAAAGATAGAGTTAGAAATTATACTCTCTAATAATAATTACTTATAGATAAGAATATCTATCTTCCTCCTAATATATATAAGAAGCTAAATAAAGAGTATAAAAGTATAGATCCTAGATCTAGTAGATTATATATTTATTCTAGAATATAAGTTCTTATAAACTTAAAACCCCTAATTTAACTAGACTATCTTATATATAATAATTTAGGATAGTTAGAACTAATACTATTAGATCCCCCCTTAAAAGATATCTAAATAGACCTTAATATAAATATAGGACTAAATCTAATATTAGATAAATAAGCTTAAAAAGCGATCTAAAAAGAATAGATAAAAGTAGCTCTTTTTATTATCTAAGAGAAAGATTATAGCTAAGATAGGCCCTAAGTAAAAGTCCCTTACTATTAAAATAAAAGAATCTAAGAAGTTCTAGATAGATACTCTCTAATATTCTAAAAGAAACTATTAAATAGATTATTACTAAAGCGCCTACTTAAATACTAGATTAATATAAAAATAGCTATATCTATTAATCTTAATTTATATCTAATATTAAAGGAAAAGCTAGATAAATAACTCTATTAGATTAAGAAGCTACTTAAACTAGGGCTTATCTAATTATTAAGTAGCCCTTAGGGCTTCTTTATTATATTTATTAAGAAACTAATAGATAAATAATAGATATATATTAACTATTAGGCCCTAAATAAAGTTATTATTAAAAATAGATATCTACTTTTAAGAATTTAAGATCTTTTAGATATAGTTAGAACTATATAAGTCCTCTTAAAGATTAATCTAGCTTTAGAATACTAGTAGATCTAAATAGATAAGAACTCTATTAAGAAGACCACTTTTAATACTATATAGGAAAAGTATAAATAGCTAGCTATACTATTTAGATTATATAATATACTAGCTATATTCTAGATAACTATAAATAAGATATTATAGTCTATCCTAGAGTAATATACTCTTATCTATCTAGATAATATCCTAATATTCTCTAAAATAATTAAAGAATATTATATTTATCTTAAGAAGATCCTAATCTTACTTAGTTAATAAGGATTAATTACTAAACTAAATAAGTATAAGATAATAACTACTAAATTAGAGTTTTATAGCTATATTATTAGGAATAGATCTATATAGTCTATACTAGCTAAGATTATAGTAATTTAGAACTAACTAGTATTAATAAATATCTATAAGATCTAGTAGTTCCTAAGGCTAATAATATATTATTAATAGTTTATCTATAGATTTACTTATATTATAGTATCTTTATATAAGCTATTAAAGGATCTAGATAAATCTATATAGAAAGA